ATGATAAAATTGTTCTTGAATCTGTAAAGGAAACGTTCCTGTATTACATATACAAATTGTAAAATGAATTGTTCAAACCACCTAGTGACACTACTTTGTGAGAACTATCATTTCCCCCATCAACTTTTTTAACACAAATCCTTCTAGCTACTTAAAGTAATTCACAGAGCTACAAATGTACTTTAAGCCATTTCAAATGATATACCATTACAATCGAAAACTGTCAACAATAGTGGTAAATGTTTTTCAATACACTTACCTTAAAAGTTTTCATAAAATTTATTATACTGTAGTCCATTTCAGCTCTATAGGGGTTAAAAGAAACACTTCTATATAGTTGTTTCCGGTTTCATCGATTCTGTTCAACTTCATTCATCCTTTCACGGTGCTTATTAGTTAGACTTCCTCTTTTATATCTGTGACTTGAGGCATTACGGGTTCTGCGACTTAAATTTGTACGTCTAATTGCCGTCATTTTTTGAAACAAAAATTCAACTGCAAATAAAAAATACTATTCTTATTCTATTCCTATTCTTTTGTAATACTCGTAGTATCAAAATGGTCTATCAAAACTTTCAACACTATCATAATTTGACTTACTTTGTTGAACAAACACTTCAGATAAAAACACACAGTACAAAGTATCCTGTAGAAACCAATGTGAAAATTACACTAAAAAATGGTAAATGTATTATGTAAGTATTTTGTTATCATAACTCCGGCCGGAATAGTAAAACTGAATATGTACTCTCGTACAAAACCACACAAAATAAACAAATTTACTCTTTGCAAACAATTTGAAAGAATAACTGAATTTTTAAGACAGAGACAATATCACAGCCTGATAGACTAATATAGTCGCACAAATGCCAAGCTCAGCCTGTAAGTAATGTAATGGGTATACAAGGAAAATTGGTATATAAGGAAAGTAAGGCAAATGCCTTATATACATACTTATTTCCCTTATATCCTCATTTCCTTATATACTAATTTTCCTTATATACAATTTTTTCTTATATACTAATTTGCCTTATATACTTATTTTCCTTATATACTCATGTTCCTTATGTAGTACTAAATTAGTATATACACTACGTGTATAAGTCCAGGTTTCCTCACGACGTTTTCCTTCACCGTCTGTCAGTGGTGTCTAAATACTCTTAGGAAGTACATATGACTTGAAAAAAATCACATTGGTACTTGCCAGGATCGGACCCACGCCCTCATGCATGAGAGGCGGGCCTTAAACCACCAGGCCACCACTGACTTAAAAAAACTGTGCTTTACATAAATCCGAAATTAATGTAAACTATCGCTATTAAAAGTACAAGTGTTATAAGAAATCCAATATATTAGAGAGTTATGAACTTTATAAAACAATTATTCTTCTTGTATGAGAGAGGTCAATAACTGTCAAATTAAAAATAAGTTTACGAGGGTTTGTACGTGCCCTTCCCTTAAAGGATCCAACAATAAACTACTTTGGACGTCGTTTTTCTCACTACCGTATTACCTATCAATCAATCCCTCTTCATACTTCAATTTAATAATCTTTCCTATCTTAGAAAAAGTTAAATGAATCAAAAATAAAAAATATTTTATGTGTTTATACGATTTATTTGATATGAAAATATATAGGTCGTCTTTATATTGTTATAATTTATATAAAAATTTACAATATTATGAAATAAGAAACCTAAATCAATCAATAAATGAATAACATTTATTAAATAATAGTCGACAGTTTGAAATTAAGAGACTGGATTAAACGCCACAAAGTTCCTCTCATATAAGAGTATATGGAAATTTGCTAACCAACCCGAAGTATCTTTAATTAATGAATGACACTTCCTAATTATCAAAAACCTCAATAAAACAACAACTAATATAATATCTTACGCGACACTTAATTTCATTATTAAATCTAAATAACTTAATAGAACCAAATTTAACATTAATAAAACTAGAACACATCACGATTAAATAAATACTGTCTTCGATATAAGAAATAATTTTCAACTCTGACCTATTCTCGTGATTTGTCAAGTCAACAACACAGAAAAGCAGTTACAAAGGACCCATAATAAATTTGTTTACCGAAAAGATTTGTAAGGTCGTAAAACCCAGCCTCTATTTATAGTTCGCTACAGTATTCATTGAGCTTTTTGAGATTTAAAAGCTTTTTCTTCAATCATTCCACTGTTCTTAGAAAGGCAGTTTATAAAAATATTTGATAGGCATAATTTATCTTATATCGTAATATAGTAAAACGTTTTTACTTAAAAATCTCTTCGGATAAATGTTATACGAAACTAAGATTTATAAAAGTCACTGGTGGCCTAGTGATTAACAGGCCCGCCTCTCATGCTCGAGGGCGCGGGTTCGATCCTGGCCAAGGCAAGTACCAATGTGATTTTTCCGAGTCATATGTACTTTCTTAGAGTACTTGGACATCACTGATTAATGCATTCCCAAAAAAGGGGGTTCATGTCAGGCAGGCGGCCGGTCGTAAAAACCATTAGCCAAAACTATTCACAACATATAAGGCAGACCCTGCCTAAAGCCGGGAAATTGCCAGGTAGAAGAAGAAGACGAAACTGAGATTTATGGATTTAGGGTCTAATAGTGAAGGCACGATTAAATTAGTAGAGTGAGAAAAATAATTATTTTATAAAATTTATCGAGGATTAGTGTAAATCCATAAGAGATAATTAGGCACATTGAAAATATCGTTGAAACTATTATGATGTACTATATAGAGGTTTACACAATAGAAGGTAAAAAGATATTTACTTAATTTTATGAGTATACTTATATGTTGTATGTACCTGTATAATAACAAACGTATATTCAAAGAAGAAAAAAAGGACGTGTGAGTTACTTCACTAAATAGAGTCAGTTGATTATTATTCATATCTCGTCACATTTTTTGTAAACAAAGGAATATTAATCTAGGTACTCTAAAATTAAAATTAATTGTGGTCACCTATGTTAAAATATTTATATATTCATAGAAAACCCTGATACAAACATGAAGAGTGCCTTTGTTTGCGTTACCAAGATTTTTCTAGTTAAAATTATTCTGAGTTGGCAAAAACTTCTTTAACTAAAAAACCTTAATAAGTTTTTCTAGTCCCTTCGGCCAGAATAAAGCTGATAACGAAAATAGGATCAAAAGATAAAATAAGAATATTTTAATATCCGATAAGATTTAACCTAGTCCAAATTTATATAAAGCATCGACATATACGGACATGCCGTACGCGTATAATCTGCAGTAATTTTTTGGTTTGAAAAGAGTGAGAGAGATGGCCTATGCTTTCGGTCTAGCACTCTCTCGTTCCTCACAGATGATTGTCGCTCAGTCAGAACGGTACTATTTTGAGAGAGATAAAGATAGACCGAAACTTCGTTTCCTTTCCTTCTTTCGGAGTACCACAATTATTGGCGGTTTTATTATAAACCATTTTTTTTATATCAAAAGATATCCCTAAGTTTAGATCATTAAAAGTATAAAAAGTCAAATAGATTCTATATTTAAAAAAGAACATGTTAAAAATAAAACAAATTTCATATTACTTATTTATTTATTATTACACTCAGCCGTTCAGATAGAATACTATAATTCTATATTTATTTAAAAATATTAATCAATATTTTACTAAATAAAAATGCAAATAGAAACCATTACTACATCTATATGGCTAAAATACTTTCATCACATGTTTAATGGCAGAACTGTTATTGTAATACAAAAAAATATATATATATGTATATTTATTTTATATATAGAACACACTGATACTAAAAGTACGCCATTGCTTGTTCCGCTTCATACATTTTCACTTCATCTTTCTTAAGATTCAAATCAGGTCTGAAACAAAAAATATATTTTGAATGTATTAACAAAGGATTGATATGGATTTTTTTTATTGTAATATGAAAAATACATGTATAATATGTTAATTTTATTAATTTAAATCTTCAATAGTTATAAGTTTCTTTTTTTCAACCATAAATTCATCTAATTACATACAAAAGCAGAAAATAGCTTACAAAGTAATTTCGACCGTTTGCGGTTGACCTGAAACAAAACGAACTCATTACATTAAACTCGGAAGCCGTCTGTATAATGAGACAATAAGTTTTTTCATTAGTTTCAGAAACAGACTGTAAGGACAGAAGTAACTTATACAAATAAGATGAATAGCTTTGTCTTAAGAAAAACCTCTCTTTTCCAATAGGGAACTTTTTCTCATTGTAATATATTATCTTACGTTTAACTTAAGAGGACTTTTTTAACATATTTGACAAGCAATTTATTTCAGTCCGTTTTAACTATGCTCTTTTATTAGTAAACGGATGGCGAATTCCAATTTTAAAATACAAATAGTCTGATAATAACTAATAAATAACATAATCTGATATTGACTAAATATGTGAAATTATATGTTTAAATTTGTACCTAATCTTAAGCTTATATTCATGCATCAATTGAGAATTTTCAAAATTTCCAGAATGATCTGAAAGACACTAATGAAAGGGCTTCTTGAATGTTCTGTCGCATTTATAAAATAGAAATATTTTTTTAACTGCCCAATGATTTGATTATTTAAGATTAGATTGCTCCTAATTCTTTAAGGGCTTATTGAAAAAAGGTTCTTGGTACACAATACTTCTCATTTGATAAAGTCAGGGTTTAAAAGTATTCATAGGAAAGGTATTATATTAGTGTTGTATGAAGCATAATAATATTGTGCAGTGATTTTTAATAGCTTCTTTCTCATGAAATAAGTGATAATGAACTACTTAAGATAACCCTTTAAAACAGATTAATGTATGATGAAATTTAAATTAGATTTTTAACATTTATATTCATATTTATTGTTTTTATTATTTGCATTAATCCACCTGATTACTGCCACTGTTATTCAAATAGCAAAAAGTTTTTTCTAAATATTTACAAAGAAAAAGTTTAGTTCTTAGAACCATCTTTAAAATCAACACCACAAGTCAAGATCCACTAAAGCTCAACATTAGCTTTGACTTTCATTGAAATAATAATTAATTAATTATTTTAATTAATTACATACATATAAACTCACCAAGGGGTTGTATGATAGGCCCTACATCTGAGACATACATATTATGCTGTACAAAATCTTTAGGGTCCGGTACACTCATGAAGTTAGGTTCAGTTATCTGTTGCTGTCTCCACTTTTCCATTTCGTCTTCTTGAATCTTCTGCAACCTTTCCACTTGTTTGTAAGTCGGCTCACCTCCAATGTAATCTCGTTTCACGCGATTGTGGTTCCTGATTTCGTGTTTTCGTAGATCAGATCTGTTGGTTATATTCAGTAATTAAATTTGGATTTATCAAAAGAAAATAGATTAAAAACATTATTTCTTTCATTTATATCGATGAGATTTTTTTTTTCAATGAAAAAGAAAATATATCTGTCTTATTCTGGCAATTGATTTATGAAATCAGCATGCAAGTTTTTACTAATATCATCATCGGCCTATCAGACGCCCACTGCTGAGCAAAGGCCTCTTTGTCACATGGAGAAGGTTTGAGCATTAATCACCATGCTTGCTCAAGACGGGTTGGTGATTTCAAACTCATAATTGTGAAACTATAAGTCCAGGTTTCCTCACGATGTTTTCCTTCACCATATGTCAGTGATGTCTAAATACATCACTAATCTTTACTTATATACATTATATCAAATTCTTAACTTCAGTATTAGTTCTAATTATGATTTTATTGGTTCTATGTTCAGACACACATTTAAAGCTTTATAGAGTTGTCACACACACATATACATGATATACATACTTATAACAGAAGTCCCGTCCGCAGTATGTGCATGTGTGTTTTATGTTCATATGCTTCGCGTCGTGATGTTCCCATAAAGCTGTGCCGGTCCGAAAAGCTTTCTCACAGAGCATACACTGAAACATACAGTTAAATATTTATTTACTGACTTCTAGTAAACAAAGTAAAAAGTTTAAGTAAATAGATAGTTCATATGTCGCTTTTTACTAAACTCATTAGCTTCACGAAGTTCTAGAAATTATTACTGGCCTATTACAAAATGTATTTAAAAAAAGTTTTTTTAATTTTTTGACAATACAAAAACTTGTTTATCAATGACCAACTTACTTTGAACTGTTTTTCCTGGTGTGTAAGTTTATGTTTATTCAGGTTGGATGGATTGACGAAGGTCGCTGGACACTGGGCACATTTGTACGGCTTCTCACCGGTGTGGGTTCTCATGTGCATCACCAGGTAATATTTGTGCTTCGATTTATATGGGCACAGGTCGCAGAAAAAGTTGAAAGTGTTTGTATGTACCAACCTGGTGTTTAAAATAAATAAGATAATTTGATGAAAAAAGTAGGAATAGTCCCTTGAAATTACGGCTTTAAGGATCTTAAGCTATGAAATGCTTATTACTACTATTAGAACAAACGTGTTGTTTTTTTTATTTATGCAACCTAATTTAATTTAAAGTTCATTATCCTTAAACCCTAAGAAGAACAAAACAATTACAAATCAAACATAAAACCTAATATATAAATCCTTCTCACATAGAAAAGAAAAAAAAGAGATCAAAAAGCGACAGTCGCATCGACATCCCTACTAATATTATAAATGCGAAAGTAACTCTGTCTGTCTGTCTGTCTGTCTGTCTGTCTGCTACGCTTTCACGCCTAAACCACTGAACTGATTTTAATGAAATTCGGTACAGAGATAGAGTTGACCTTGAGAAAGAACATAGGATAGTTTTTATCCCAGACTTTTGAAAGGTTCTCTTGGAAACGCGATATAACCGAACTCCACGCGGCGAAGCTGCGGGCGGAAAGCTAGTATTAACATATATCACTGTATCCTTGTAAAGTTTCTAGCGGTCGTTCATCTGTTAGAAGCCTTAATTATTGTATTCTTTATCAGTAATTCCCAAACTGACCATTCTTCTATCAACCAACTATTTTAACGATTATCTATCAGCCAACTGTTATCTTTAAAGTCAACAACTATATTCTATATTATAACGTACATGTGGTTTTTGAGCCTGGCTACAATAGGAAACTCCTTGCCGCAGGTAGTACATTTGTGCAGCAGACCCTGTTCGTGATTGTGCCGCATGTGTTGCGCTATACTACGAACAAGTTGTCCACAGATGTCGCAGGCTCGCCTCGTACACTGCCGTTCGCGGCGATGCAGCACTAACTTGTCCTGGTAATGGAAATTGGTCAATTAAGCTAATAGAACTTCACAACATTAAGATTGCAAAAAATCTATTCTATCTTTTATATTCTAGAACAATCTATGCGTTGGAATGTCCATAGCCCTTAGTATTTAGATATTCTAAGCCAATTGTTAGTTTCTGTTAATTCTATTGCTATTTCTTTTAATTAATGGACAAAGCCACATACAGTTATGTAGTCTGGTTAGTTTTATTCGCTTTAATATAAAATAATATAAACATAGTAACCTTATAGAAACATTGAGCTTTGTAAGAAAAAAATCTTAAATTAATAGTAGAATTATAGTTTGATAACAAATTACGTAATACATAGATAATAATAATTATATACAAGGAGTATTTAGATTCTAAAGGTTTGTTTTACAACAAAAAAAATCTGGTTCCATTTTAGCACCTTAAAATAATCACAATAATGTAGATTTTTCATTGGCAAATATGAATTGCCATAGGGGTCGAGATATACCCAATTATATGGTAAACTACAAGCTTTTATTGAGAAAAAAATTCCATGTCCATTAAGTGATTAATTAATCATGAAAAGTAACCTTGGCTATATTTCTAAATATTTAAGTTTTTATTTAACAAAATAATTAATAACTACACTTTAAATAACACCAAATTTTTTAGACTTTATTAAAAACTACAATAATAATTCAGGTATTTAAACTTTAACCTGACTCTATTTTGAAGTATTATGAGGACATAAAAACCATATGCCCTAATCCATATTACAAGAATATATATGCTGGAAATAATGAGTAATATGTAACAGTTTCTAAAATAGCAAGTGATCAGATTTAGTCATCCATCTATCTACAGGGTGACTGGTGAATTACTATCGATACTTGAGGACGTGATATTTGACGATTATATATGACGAAATAAAAATTAATATAACATAAATATTAATAAACTTCTAAGTAAAGTTAAACAAAAGTTATGTAATTAATTACGCATCGTGTGAACACCCTACAGATTAGGTATACACTCACACACACATACACGTGCGGCAGCGTAGTGTTGTATCAGCACGCCGCCGCACGCGTCCACACTTGGAACGTGTCAACACTTTATTTATTTACACGGAAACTTTGTCAAAAATTAAGTGCCTATTTTTTTTACATAATTCGAATGAGAATCATGTACCGAGTATTCTCCTTAAATATTGATAGTAATTCACCAGTCACCCTGTATAAGGTCAATAATTAAAACTAAATCTTTTCAATTTTGAAATTGCTGTCAATATCACTACATAAAAATAGTAAGTATACAACATAAATACTTCTGTTTTTGAAACTATTAACAACTTTCATAAATGAGTAAATATGAATACCTTTGTTGGAAAAATCATATCACATGGTGAACATTTGAATTCTTTATTTTTAGGATCCTTCTTCTGTAACAGTCTCTCCCTTCTCCTTCTTTCTTTTTCCGCTTTCTGTTCTGATTCCATTCTTTTTAATTTCATTTGATGTAATATAAGTTGAAAGTCATGTTTTGAATATGGATATGAGTGAAGTAGGGGATCACCTGTAATTTTTAATATGAAACATTTATTAATATAATATAGCTATTGAATAATTTGTTTATTATTATCAAACAAACCCATAGGATTCAGTATCTTTCTAAACTTCTTATCGGACAATTCACAGTTCTTTTTGAACCTCATGGCAACTTTGAGAGACTCCAGACATTCTGAACATATGTATTTAGGCAATGAATCATCAGCATTTATCTGTTAAAACATTTAAAATAATATAAATAACAGAGGTGTATATAAAAGGCATCTGGTTATTTAAGTAATATAATAATCATTGAATATATAAATAAAATCATACTACATATATTACTACTCACATTTATATTAGTGAGACTACGAATCGCTCCCATTATATCACAATCATAAATTTTTGTACTTAGTGGTAAACATCCATTCCTTGCACAAACTCTGCATATCATTTCTTTTGATAGTCTTAAGCCTACTTTACTGTAAAGCAAAGCAATTACTACTGGTAGAGGTAAATATGAAGAATAAATTAAATATTTGAAATAATAAGTTACCTGTCCATAGTAAGTTTATCCCAGTGGTCACTATTATTATCGTCATCTGGTGTATTCATATTAGGATACGACACCTTATTTAATTTGGACATCATCGCCTTAGTCAAGTAGACAGTCATGGTTGATAAATAATTACTTTTACATTAAATGAAAACTGTTATTGTTGTAATTCATGTTCAGCCGTCTTCTATCGAGACTAAAAAGTTTTCATGTTTGCATTTCAAAAACATTTTTAACTTTTATACATTATTATGACTAATTTTTAACTCATGTATGTAATAAAATATCATATCTAAATTATAATTTATGATTTATGGGTCGTACTTAATGAACTAATAAATAAATAAATATGTAAGAATTTAATGTCTACAATGTGTATACTGAGTTATGACATACAAAGAATGACAAATAATAAGGGTTGCCTCTTTATATGTACCAAAGACAAACTATTATGCCGAGTAAGAGAAATAATATATGCTTTTCTTCGTAATTTTGTAACTTAACTCTTCATTTCATTCCGTTGTATATATATTTCAAAATAAATTACAGTTTCATTATTTTATTTTTAATAGAAGAAATTCGAAATGATATGATGTAACTTTTATAAAATCTCAATAGACAGTACTATCGACATATACTAAGTTTTATATTAGTATATGTCGACTGTCAGTACTCACTCGATGACAGAAATGTTAGCTGTAGCGAATTGAATGATCTATGGTCAGGAATAAAAATAACAATTCAATTTGTGTTTAAAAAATTATAAGAACGAGAAGTAACTAAAGATTTTCGTAAACAAAACACGAATAAAGAGATTTATAATAAACATTCAATCGATTTAGTATATTCAAGAATATGACTTCTCTGGTTTTACTTAAATCAATTTTATTGGCGAGTGTTCTGCAAAAAAATAAAAAGAAAAAAAAACTAAAATCAAAGAAATCGTAAGTTGCATAAAATATAAATAAACTATTAATACTCTTTCTAATATTCCAATAATATGTAATCTTACATTGTCAAATGTATTCAGTGGAATCTAAAAATTACAGGTTTTCTACAAATAAAATTGATTTAAAGATATGTCGAATATGCAATGAGGAAAAAGGAGAAATACCAATATTTAATGATTGTATACAGCCTAACATACCCGAAGAAATAAAACATTTTTCAGGAGTTTCAGTAAGTAAAATCAATTATAACTTTTATGTTCAAACTTATATGATATATTTTATCAGAAGTATCAAATTATCTACATATTTAGATTTTATAGTACTGCTGTGCATTTTAGTGACAAATTAAGGCAGATATAATACTTGCAGATATTTAAAACTGATAATTTACCAAAACAAATATGTCAAAACTGTTTGGATTTACTAAATGGCTGTATAATGTTTCGAGAAATGTGCCAAAAGACAAATCAGCTCATGAAAAGAATTTCCTCAGTCCAGGATATCACACCTCATATTAAAAAAGGTATAGATATCATATAAATAACAATTAAAATTTAATGTACCAATATACTTAACTAATGTAATAAAGAATAATTGTTTGTTTTTTTTTTTAGAGGAGGATGAGAAAAAAGATTTGATAGTTGACCAAAATGGAAGTGATGAATCGTTGAATGTACCTTCACCAACATGTTCAGAAGACAATTCAGAAATATGGAACTGTACTTCTTGTAAAACAGAATATGATAATTTGGTATAAATATAAAAAAATATGCTTTGTCTTTCAAATACTAACTTATGAATTGAAAAATAATCTCATTATGTAATATAGTTAAAGTATTTGATTAATAATTTTTTACTGCTTCTGTATTTTATGTTTATTTCATTCCAGGAATCATACAACAAACATTTAGTTGAATGTAAAACGCAGAACAACGATTTAAAACCTGATGTAGATCGGAAAAGAACAAAAGAGACATTCCTCTGTGATATTTGTGGAAAAGTTGCCCGTTCCAATGCAAATCTTCTTATTCATATGTATGAAAACACTTTATCAATAAACATTACTAAAGCAATTAATTAATAAAAACAAGTATTTTGCTATTAGGAGCTTATTACATTAAATATTATATGTTAATATTAAAACAGCTCAAATACGGATCAGACTTGCAATATAAGTGTGCAGTAATGAAAAATAATTAAACTCTCACTCTGCTTCTATTAAACTTTTCTAATTTTGGAACAAGAAGTCTGGTATATGTTTAAATTCCTCGTTAGGTGTTAAAATAAGCAAAATAAATAGAAAATTATAAGTAATTCTCTTCAGATTGCATTGTGTTTGTTAGTTGAGTTTCTCCATAGGGATCCTAAATACTTGATGTCACTTCTAAATATGAGTTACATTCCGTTATATCCATGGAGCAAGGAAACCCTTGAAACTGAATAATTTTGTGTAATCATAATACTAATGTATTTATTACAGAATGATGAATTTTATTGAGCATTTATACAATCTTTATTTGACAAATGAACAAAATGATTACATCTATTATTTTATACTTAAAAACTAATACCAATTAAAGTACTGAAAATTGAGTTCATGTAAAAAATTAAAATGCTTTTTCCTTCCGATAATGTCTGAAAGAAATCAAATCTATATATGTGTTTATATTTACAGGGCCATACATGAAAATATATTTCCTTTCAAATGTGATCAATGTCCCTACCAAGGAAGGACTATGGATCTTCTCCGAGTACACAGACGAACACACATGGCTGATAAGCCGTTTAAATGTGCACACTGCCCTAAATCTACAACTACATCTAGTAACTTAATGAAGCATATACGACATGTTCACAGTACTACAAGGCCTTATAAGGTAATTATATTAAATGAAACTAATATATTTCAGATTATACTACGCGTAATTTATTTTTTTCAAAATGCATATTATTATATTATACTTAATTTTAAACTCGAGTTTTGAATCTAATGTATTGAATATTTTATCTTAAGATTATCTATTTTATAAATAAAATAAAATGTATTATTGCTTGTTTCAGTACTTTTTGAGTGACAGACTAACGCATACAAGTTTCTTTATTAATAGTTATGGTATAATTTTATTTCTTACAGTGCACATATTGCGATAAAGCATTTTCTTACCAACATGATATGAAGAGGCACATAAAAGACATTCATTTAAGACAGGGTACCGTTGAATGCGATATATGTTTCAAAAAATTTAATACAAAGTAAGTCAATAAGTTGTCAACTAAATTATATTGAAGTTTTTTAATTTAATAAATCATCGTGCATAAAAAGCTAACCAGTTCGTAGTCGCACTGTTAAAAAACGACTTGAAAAATAAATTATAGATTTCGTTCCTTCTTAGCAGATCTATATATCAAGAGCGTGCAACAAATATAGCAAAAATATATAGTTTGGTTCATAAAAAAGATAACTGAACTTAGAAATAATTCTTTTAAATGTTTATTTTGATTAAAAATAATTAGTTAAAACTATTATTACAATGATAATAATACATAAACAATAATAACGTAATTATTTTTGTTCACAGAAAAATATTACAAGGACATCGTTTTAAGATTCACAAAATAAAAGGCGAAAGACACGGACGTTTGCCTTCTTATTTACAATGTCAACAACACAACGATAATAAACAAGATGAATCCGAGTCTGTTGTCTATTAATAGAGATTAAGTGCAATATTTTGTAATTAAAACATAGTCGCACATTTTGTATAACATATTAATGCTGTTTTGCAATATTTTAGAAAAAATTTATGAACTTATACTCAAATAGATATACGTTATTTATGACAAAACAAAAGACTTATTATTATTTATGTGATATTTATTTTTATAGAATAATTTAACGGTAAACATTATCTTAGCAGAAGGCAATTATGCGGAGTCACTGGACTTATATCTCTGATGATTTATTAAAACTTTTATATTATTTTTATTTATCGGTTTCTAATAAAACATTGGAATAAGTTAACTCTTGTTATTTCTGTTCTACCACCAACTACGACGGTTCACTTTCAAGATGAGAGTTCTTTTGATACTTTTATATTTAAAAAGTTGCGTCACTTTCGATATACCTCAAAATAATTGTAAAACAGATTTGTCTATAGACAATGATCATTACAATGTTACGGAGAGCTACGATCTGGGCAATTCCTTTCCTAGTGACGCTCACTATGATACAAATGGTGATCTATTCTTTGTGGAGTCCGGTCGTAATTTGGAAGGATATTACTTTAATATAAAGACAATTAAAGCAAATACGACATCAGCACAGGAAATATCGGGTAAGTATCTATAATATATTCGCATTGAATGCAAAAATTCAAAGTGTTATTACTAAGAATAAATTAAAAATAAACGAATTTAATCAGGGCTTCCTCAGGGGGAGAGTTACTCTGTCGCTGTAGACAAAAAGAATGAAAAAGTTTATTTTGGAACTAGCAGAGGAATATTCCTTTATAAACATACAACTAATGAAGCTACTCTCGTCTCGGATCCAGATTTAAGATTAAACATGCTCTTCATAGACAAAGATGGCAATAAATACATAACTGACAGCCCTGACGGTGTGGAAGAATTATATCTTTTGGCGGAAAACAAGAAAATTCGTTTCAGTACCTTCGAAGATCTGAACGAAATGGCGGTAGACGGTAGAAATAACTTCTATTTCATAAGAGAGGAAAAACTTTTTGTTCTAAAATCCAATTTGTCTAAACCATTATTCATTGGTGATGTTTCTTACGAAGGATACGCTCAGATATCGTTTTATAGGAACGTTGTTTACATAGCCAGCGAAACTTTATCATACATACACGAGAACGACTCCGGCCCACTTAAATTAGTGAAAAATATCCCTGGGAAAGTAACGGCCATTGCATTCGACAAAACCGGCAATTTCGTGCTCGGTACGAACGGGAAATTTTTAAAATACACCAAGATAGACAATAACGATTGCTATCACAGACGTAATTAATTTTAATGATACACATTTAAAATGCAATAAATCAATTTAGGATATTTGAACTTTTTTTTAATATTACTAAAAAAATAAAGAACTTATGAACATCTCAGTTTTATATGTAACAAATCACAAAAAAAGGTTGGAATCATTCACACAATTTGTATTAAATATGTAGTATTAAAAAATGCCTGATAATAAATTATATCCAGCAGAGTTGAAATAGCTTCAGTAATAATAAAATTAATATGAATAGTCCAACTTCCTCCTAAGAATAGCATCACATATCCACACAGATCACACATATCATGGACTTGACATCAATTAAATAAGAAAACTTTAATGAACATAAAACTTATGACTACATTAAAATGATAACACACACTCCTTACAATATGAAATAGTTTTTGCTACAAATAAGCCATAACAATCAAATACTTGAGTATATTTAATATATTAAAACTAATGGGGCAGGATGCTCTGAGAGATTATAGGGAATGTCAGTGGCTGAGCTTGAGAATTTGGTAAAGCCAATGGCTGACTAGTGCTAGAAATTGTTATTTGCTGAGTTGAAGTCTGATGAACCAGTTGTTGGGCCGATGGCACCAGCTGTTGCTGTGCTGACTGCTGCTGAGCCACCATAGCAGCTTGTTGGGCAGATTGTTGAGCCACCATTTGTTGTGCTGATTGTTGCGCAGCTAATTGCTGTGCTGACTGTTGAGCTACAGCCAAATGTTGAGCTGACTGAGCCAAATGTTGGGCAGATTGTTGAGCAGCAAGGTGCTGAGCGGATTGCTGTGCAGCCAGATGCTGAGCAGACTGCTGGGCTAAATGCTGTACTGATTGTTGAGCAGCATATTGGGATGCCTGGTGTTGTGGTCCCAGTTGTGGTTGTAGAGCAGATGTTTGAACCAGCTGTTGGACTGCCGTCTGTGGTGCATTGCTCATTAACTGTTGCGTAGGCGGTGCTAATGTCAACTGGGCAGGAGTAACAGCCACAACAGTTTGACCCCCACCCATGAGTGTGCCAGAATCACTGACTTGCATTAACTGTTGAGCTCCAGCACTTGTTACTATTAAAGCTCCAGAATTTCCAACTAGCTGTTGTGTTGTGCTAACAGTGAGTATTTGAGGAGCTGGAGTGAGGAGCTGGGCTTGAGATGCAGCTGGGGCCAATGTCAAGTTTGGTGTGGCCGCTGTAGGCATGAGTGCTGGGATGGCTCCAGCAAGACTGACAACTGGTGTCACACTTACAGTTGCCAAGGAAACAGGTGCTGAAGTACCATGTCTTGATGTTATAACACAAGGCTGATCACTTCTTACAGATGCCGTCTGTTCTAATAAAAATTCATTCATTGATGTCAGCTGAACATTTTTCTCTGTCAAATCAGCTACCTTCTTGAGCAAAACACTTATATTATCATGGAGTAACTTTATTCTATGATTTAATGCATCACAATTCTGACACATATTTGGTGGCTGCATAGTCTGGTTGTCCAAATTTGGTTCTTCCATAGTATATCTTCTAAACTTAGCCTCTGGTGGGGAATCATTATCCCTTATATGTGGGGAGAATGTATGATTAAACATTGGCTGTTGTGCATTACGCTTAGCGCCTATCTCACTGAATGGTGCATCTCTTACATGTACAAACTTGCAGTCTTGATTGGAACAGGCTCCTTGGATGGTGGATTGACATATAGCTGGTACATTACGAAGATCACGAGGAAAAACACCGGTAGCATAGAATTGTTCCTCATTCTCTAATGAAATGTGGAGAAATTTACAATTCGATCTATAGCAACCTTTATTTTGGTAATCATGACAAAAACGAAACAGCTCTTTCAAACGGGCTTTCGGTGGAATTTCGTGAAGAAACCGGCAATTATCTCTAGGACAACATCCTCTTATAAAATCTCTGCAGAAATTACTTGCAGCTGGTATGTTATCATTTTCTTCAGAACTCATAGTACCGTTTGTGTTTTTTAAGCCGTTTCCGATCATGATTAGAAATTCATTTACTCTTGACTGCAGGCAACATCACTTGTAGTCAACAATATAAACAGCAACCAAAAACACTTCAATCATTTCAAAAACTTGCTTTTAAAAGTGTTCATTTTTTTTGATTTTGGTAAAAATAAAGCTGGCTATCTGGTCAATGTATTCATATTTGACATGATCTCACAGAGAATAAAAGTCATGTAATAGAAAACAATATTGCCTTAACATGATTGTTCTAAGAATTTCACTTATTAGTTTCAATTTTTATCATACTAACATTTTCAAAAAAAAAAATCAATGAATTTTCGTTACCTATTAACTTGTATACCTTTAATAATATTTTTAATACTCTCAAAAAAAAATTAATCAATCCCCTAATTTTAAGAACTTTAAATTTAATATCTCCTTATTATTATAAACCATAACAATATCAAGTAACTACTTGATAAAATTGTATAAGTTTATAGAACTTTCATTACTATCACACTGTGTTATGCTATATTTATTTAGTTTTTGATTATAAATATTTAACGCTTCAAAAAGGGATGACTTTTTGAAGTATAAAAATATTATTTTTAATTAATTTTTTAGTTATAGAGTATTATATTAAAATATATTACATACATTATTTTTTAATCTGAGAATCTTTTTCACCTTTAACATTTTAATCCATCTTTCCAAATACGTTTTTAATCTATAGTTTCGAGTTTGACAATTTATAAAAATATGGCGAGAAAACAATAAAATATATTATATATTGGCTCTCACAATGAATTATTACATTAAAATTTAAAAGCTAAGACGGAATCAAAGCATTTAATCGCTATACAATCTTTACGACTGTAATCATGACTAATGATTTCTAATTTAAAAGCAGTCCATAAACTGTTTGCGATATTTTCTCTAAAATAATGATGAGGTAAGTTGTCCCACATGTTGATTTGTTTATAAGTTAGTAATATTCAGTAATTCGCTTTTATTATTTTCTAAATCAGGCATTGATATACAATGTTAAAACAACAAAACAAAACGATATCGAGGAGCGTTCACCCTTACCAAACAACTGTGGTACCTCGAACCGAACAACAACTTTCATCGGCTGCCCAACAACGAGCTAAGTTTCCGTGGGCTGAAGACGTCAATGCTCCCGTCTACCAAGTTCCTGGGACAGATAGTTCCGCATCAGAAAACGCATATCATGTATTGTCTCGCACTATTATAAACAACTATGTACATATGAAAGAAAAGTAACAAAAAATACTATTTCAGATGCCCGTCTATTACCAAAACTCTCAAAGAGATAATGGTCCTCCGTCACCAGTTTACCAAATGCCGTACGCTACAGGGACATGGCGTAGTTACAAAAAATGTGATAACGTAACATCAAAGCCGATGTCCACAACATACGCCTTTCCTCCCTGCGCCTCGTCCTTTTCATTGCCTACATGTGACGATCACACTAGAACAATGACTCGTTCCCCTGTCCCTACATTACCGTCGGTAAGCCCTGAAGTTCCTATTATTGGAGCCTGCGGTGGCCATTGTCCAGGATTTGAATATGTGTGCTATTATATATTACAAGTAAGTTTTATCCCTATGCTGAACTCAATAATTAGAACTATAATAAACTTTTACTAGGTTTGAATATTTCATTACATTTATTCCATAACTTTCAGGTAATTTTTGTAGTTGGCATATTAACAGGAATCTCTTTGTGTATCGCTGGGATTGTATTGCGTAGGACAAACCGCAACGGTGATCTGGGTGTTTTAGTTTATATTGGTAAGAATTCATAATATTTTTCTTAACAAAATGCAATGAACACCTGAATATCTGCTCTATACAAGTTATAAAACATAGTTACAATAATATTCAACCTGATTATAGTACTACAAAACTAGCATCATTGAACTCTCTATACAATATCTGTACAATATAAATTAGTCATACTATTATTTTGTTAAATTTTAAAATTGCTTTTATTTCTATAATTGTGATTTTAACATTAATATCATGCTAATATATAGGTTGATTGGTTTGAGACTAAAGGCAACAAGAATCTGATATTCTGTTGGATGCCGATTTGATTCCTACTTGTATTAATGATTATTATATATATATATATATATATATATATATATATATATATATATATATATATATATATATATATATATATATTTTTGAATTTCTAATACTCATATTACTAATGTTTTTCAGGTAGTCTATCGTCATGTGTGTGTGGAGTGCTTCTAGGAGTACAGTGTTGTGTCCGTCGTGAAATAAGACAGAGGAAGTTGAGAGCTAATTTGCACATTCCTATGCAGGCTATACCAGTAATATTTCTTTTATATATTTTATATACATATTAGCTTTCCGCCCGCAGCTTCGCCTGCGTGAAGTTCGGTTATATCGCGTTTCCAAGAGAACTTTTCAAAAAGTCTGGGATAAAAACTATCCTATGTTCTTTCTCAAGGTCAACTCTATCTCTGTACCAAATTTCATTAAAATCAGTTCAGTGGTTTAGGCGTGAAAGCGTAACAGACAGACAGTTACAGACAGACATATACATATTATAAGTTTAAGTATTATTTGAATCATATTTAAACTGAGTTATTATAGATTTTATAATAATCTTTTTATGGTTTTCAAACCTTTATTGTAACAATTTATATGACATTAATTACATTAAAGCTAGAAAGTTTTAATACATTTTGATTTTCAACTAAATTTACAAACAATTAATTATTAGAAAAAAATTGAATAAGTATTATATTTGTTTAAACAAACATTTTATCTGTTCCAGGAGGCTCCTCAAATTTGTCCATTATTGACATCTACTTTACCTCATAGTCAAGTTTACAGGTATTTAGAAAAAAATACAAGCCTTTAAATACATTCTACATATATACTCCATATTTATAGCATTCTTGATACCTTTTTGAACATATTCCTATATAATAATTCAATTATTGGTCATGAATTTTATATTTTTGTTGTTTTTAAACTATAACATATATTACGAAGATATAAGGGTCATTGTTTAATTAAATATATAAGAAAATTAATAAGTAAATACATTATAATCTAATAATATCTTTCTAGGCCCACCACAGCCAATGTATGTGATGAAGACTTACCAGGCGTCCCATGGTGGCGTCGTGCCAGAGACTGATTAGTTTTAAATTTATTTGCTGTACTTTTTCTAATGTAACTTTGTTATATAATTAAACAAATATTGCTTTTTTTTAAGTGTCATCATTTTGTTGATCATTTTTAACCTCTCTTCTAAACTATCAGCAAATTAACTTACGTAATAATTTCTATTGATAAAGTTATCATTTTATAAGATTAAAACCAATGACACACATTTTATAATATATATAAGCAATAAATTTTCCTTATGCGTTTTTCATTTTATAATGAGCGACAAAATTATTCATGCTTTAATAATTTGACGCAAACGAAACACGTTTTTACTAACTTCTCTGACGTCAGGCGTATAGTGTTATCAGTATATTTTAAACATATTGGAAACTATTTAAGGAAAATTCGATAGAGAAATAAATCACAAATATAGATGTTATATATTTATTAAAACGGAGATTGAAGAATATATTAAGTACACGTAAATAATTCAATATAATGTACTTTAAGTACTAAAAATATAACTTAAATATCATTCAACCACACCAAAAAACAGCATTTGCACCATAAACACAAGAAAAAAGAATACATACTGTGGTATTAGAAAGTTGAATATTAAAAAATATATATACTTAACCTTCCTATACTCGCGCGTTGGTCTGTGAGACCGACGAAACACATTTTCGTAATTATTTTTATGCAGGTAAATCCTAAGAAGTTGAGTTCCTTGCTAGCTGCCGGATTTGTGGCTAACTTCGTTTTAGTGCACGCCGCGCGTTCGGGCGAAACACACGTGTTGTAGCACTCGTCACCAATCGGTCCACGAGACCGACGCGAGTATAGGTGTAACTTTTTGTGTAAGTATTAATATAATTTATTTCGTGCATTTGTATATTTTTTGCGGACTTTGATTACTTTATAAAGTATATATAGTAAAATATATGTATGTATGTTGCTCTATATTATATTTTGACCAATTTTATCATTCTTTTTTAGGTTTTAATCCATATCAAAATGGACGATGATCACATCAGATTGTTGCTGGAAGAATTAAGTTCTAGCTCAAGCTATGAAGACGAAAATGACAGTGAGGTGGAAGATAACGTGGAGGTACAAGAAGAGACATATGATACCGAGCAAGACGATGACAATGACGAGATATCTGAGGAAGAACATAATGAACGATCCCATGATTTTTACTTAGGAAAAGATGGACAGACAAGGTGGAATAAATCTCCTGCCTCAAACCCAACTAGGCGACGTGCTAGAAATATAGTTACTCAACTTCCAGGCGCTAGAGGAGAAGCTAGAAATTTGAAGGAACCAGGTGAGCTGTGGCGGCTTTTTTTTTCGGAGGGCACTATCAGCCTGATAGTAAAGTACACTAATGAACAAATTAATCGCATGAAGCATAATTTCACAAGAGAGAGAGACTGCGCCGATACAGACAATATTGAAATTGAAGCTTTTTTAGGCCTTTTACTATTTGCTGGAGTCAGAAGGAACGCTCGTCTAAATGCCAAAGATTTTTTCAGAACTGACGGGTCATCCCCGGAGATATTTCGTTTGACTATGGGATTATCCAGGTTCTTTCTATTGATGCGTTGTCTCAGATTTGACAGTAAAGATACACGAGAAGAGAGAATACAACTGGATAAACTGGCACCTATTAGAGAGTTGTTTGATATAGTTGTGGGAACGTTCAAAAAATATTACAGCGTGTCTCAGTATGTTACAATTGACGAGAAGTTAGAGGCTTTTAGAGGACGTTGTAACTTTCGCCAGTACATTCCATCAAAACCCAACAAATACGGAATCAAAATTTATGCGTTGACAGATGCCAAAATGTTTTATACCCATACCATGGAAGTTTATGTTGGGAAGCAACCAGACGGTCCATACCAAGTTGATAACTCCGCTTTGGCTTTGGTTTTGCGATTGAGTGAAAATATTCACAATACTGGGCGTAATATCACATGTGATAACTTCTTCACTAGTATTCCATTGATAGATAAGCTTGAGTCTCAACACAAATTGACAGTTATTGGGACAATTCGTAAAAACAAACGAGAATTGCCTAAAAATTTCACGGAAATACGAGGAAGAGCCGAAAAATCTAGTTTATTCGGGCACCGTGGCAATTGCAGTCTTGTATCCTATGTACCAAAAAAAGGCAAAAATGTCCTTCTCGTATCCAGCATGCACGATGATGCCCAGATCAATGAAGATACAGGTAAACCGGAAATTATAATGGACTACAATAGAACCAAAGGTGGAGTAGATACCGTAGACAAAATGTGTGAGACTTACAACGTCGCACGTGGGACAAATAGATGGCCAATGGTGATATTTTAGAGCCTAATGAATGTAGCGGGTATAAATACGTTTATAATATACCTGCAGAATAACCCTAACAAGAAAATTAGCCGTCGAGTCTTCCTTGAAGCCTTAACATACGATTTGATCAATCCGCAACTTAGACGACGGGCTCTCATTTCATCCTTGCCGAGAAGCATAAGACTCAGGCTCACCGAAATATGCAAATTAGATGGACCCGAGTCTGCAGCAACATCTTACAATAATAAAGTAGGTCGTTGTGGATACTGCTCTTCGAAAAAAAACCGCAAGACACGTTACAACTGTGCCACCTGCAAAAAATACTTTTGTTTGGAGCATGCTGTAACCGTATGCCCTGATTGCTATGGCGAGGCTCAAAATTAAGTCAAACATAGATAAATATGTTTATTGATGTTTGTTGTTATTAATAAGAAGTTTAATTTGTTTTTAAAAAGAAGTTCAGATTTTATTTTAATTTTTTAGTACTTAAGAAAATAATCTCAAATTTTAAGACTGATTTGTGATAAAACTATAAGTTGGTAAAATAATTAATAAAATAACTTTTAGTTATACTGTTTTGTTTCATTACATCCTAAACTTTAAAATAATAGTAATACTTTATGTGTTTCTTGTTAAAAAAAATATGTTGTAGGGGTACAAACTATCGGTCTGTGACACCGTGCGCGAGTATAGGTGTTACAAAAATTGGCTCGAGTATAGGAAGGTTAATGCGAAGTTCTCTCGTATAACTAAATACTGATTTTATATACAATTTAATTGAATTGTAAAATTAGAACTTCAAATATTAATATTGTGATGCTAGTTCAATGTTTTAACTAAAGAGAGCTTAAAATAAATAAAATATGGATCTTAAAATAAATTAAATGCTAAACGTTTCTATCGCGATACCAATGTAGTTAGAGGCTTCACACGAAACTTTGCCGCAATCATTGAGCTTATCAATTACAATTTAAAATATCAGCACTTATCAGCGATTTGAATTATACAATAATGTATTTCAACACGTTTTGTTACATATATACTTAAAACTAAGGACGGTCTCAACATAAAACATCTATGTTAAATGAAAAATAGCTACAGAGATATTATTAATTAAATTACAAAACATTATATTGGATTCTCCCAGCTGTCTATTAATAATATGTTTTGATTCACAATTAACAGAGCTGCTAAGGAAAATTTTCATATTTCTATTTATACTGTTTCAAATAACACCATTTTTAAACTTTTGACATGTTAAAAAAATGTTGCCAGCACATAAAAATTATACTTATTTTCAAAATAACATGATAATGTATACGATAATACATGATCTATATAATTCGTTACAATTCAAAATATATTTGCTACACAACTGAAAGCGGAATTATATTTTAAGTCATACATACTCCTACTCACGGATAGATTACAACTAACATTACAATGTTACACCTATCATATAATCTGGACGACAATTTGGCCACATGTCTTGTAAATAACTTTAAACTATCAAAACTACGTCGAATAAAGATCATGTGATACACCAACAGAATGATCATTCAAATAAGTCCACTGTAATTCTTAAGCAAACACAAATTTTAATAAATCCGATTGACAATATAATAATATTTTTTTAATTGATGCCACAAAAACAATAAATACAAATAAATATCACATAGATCGTAAATACTTTGTACAACAAAATGCAGTACGACTACAGATAAAAAATAATACCATTACCAATAATGGTCCATTGTTTCGCTATTTAAGGTACATTGCGGTAAAACGGGCGTCACCGGTTCCCGCATTACCAAAAAGGCGATTGTATTAAAATAAACTCTTTACTTACAGATATTAAGTAATGTACCGTTTAAAGAATAAAATATTCATGTGTATTCATTCGGTACGTAACATTTACGCCACAGACGGCCTCCCGTCTAACATTTTGTCGCTCTCCTCTGCGCTGCTCAAGCTGAAAATAAAAGCTTATTTTGAATAACAAGTGAAAGCTGTACGGAGTTTTTTATATAAAAAGAAACGAGTGTCGCTGGCACTTAACAGTTCCATAAAGTAATTTCTTTTTTCAAATCATTCGATGGTTAGATTCGAGAACGCAAAACTTTAACGCTTTTACTGATGAATAGTTTATTATCAAAATAAACAACAGTCATTTCAAAGAGCTCTCACGTATATTTCTATCATAATATAGTATTATATTAAAAATTTCAGTGTTCTAAACAAGTCAAAAATTTATTTTATAAACAATTTGTCGTGGGGTCATAATTAATAAGATATCACATACGTCGGTCACTTATCGTGATTATTGGGTTTCGTTTAGTGAGTCTGAAAGGCGCGATCGTGACAGTGACGGTCATACAATTTTATGAAAAGTTATGTAAACTGTATAGACAATGGACACGACAAACTTTACACTCGAGCCTCGTGGACTACAATAGATCCTTGTGCTAATAAACAAATGTTATTTTAGAACTAACGATGTTGATGCAATCTACTGTAGCGGCCATTTGTATTATAAAGACGTTAGGGTGTCACAATATGTTTTATAACAACGTAATATACCATTGTCGTATGAAGAAAATTGTGATGGCGAACGCATTAGTAATTTTAGACGAGATTTTTGATATAAACTTTCGTATGTCTTTATATATCGATAGATATTAACAAATAACATTGTATAGTGACGATAATTACCTAATACATTGTGTGATTATTACAATATTTGAAAATCGAAACAGTAGTGTTACATGAAGAAACACAAAAAAATCTGAATTAAAATCTCTAATAAAACTCAATAGAAATATTTGAAAATCGAATCAATAGTGTTGTCACATGTTACGTTGAGTATCACTCACCATTCCTTATTATCCATGAGGTTGCGCATCTCATCGTCGGGTGCTGGCGGGGCGTCTCTCACGGGCGCGTACTGAGCAGCCACGAGGGGATCCGTCGATGGGTTGAGGGCTGTCAACGCCGCTGCGTTGTTCGTGGCTTCCTTGCCTCCACCCCAGCGTGATGACCACGCCCATCCTCCTATACCTAGACAATTTGTTAAGGAGGTTTAATAACTTTTAATTCTGACTTTGCAGTCTAGATGGCAGCACTAGACCGTCCCTTTTATAACCGACTAGTCACAGTAAACACACTTATTAAGTGTGCAACAATTTTGTCTCCAAATAAAAGGAAATAAGGTGTTATTTTCATTTAAAAATCCTATACATTTTATTAATTAACGATATACTTTTGAGTTGGGTTTTCTATAAAACTAACTAACGAGATTCAATAGCGAATATCGATAGAGTCCATTTTCAACGTGACCTTTTTTATAACTTGTATTTAATAAAAAATCCATTCTATCGTACTCGGAAATTTAGTAGAACGTATTGAATGAAAAGTTTTTTTTCTTTCCAAACACGTCTGTAATACAGATTCTTTTCAATATAAGAAATAGTTTGAGAGTAATACTATTACTTGTTTTTGATTTGATAAAAGTGCTAGAGTAAATTATTTGTGTAGATATCAAAACAACAGTCGCGTGTAGCGTGTCGAGTCATTATAAACAAAACATAAATATGAAATGTAACAAAAACGCTTCTTCAGTGACCTTGGTGTTTGCAACGGGTTAAGGTTGTGGGTCGGGCTTGTAATGTCACCCATCACTCATTATGTTTTACGGTCTAACATAAAAAAAGCGAAAAAATATAATATTCACGTAAAGTCAACCCATTATGAAAATAAATTTCCTTTATATATGAAGAGTTGGTGGGATTTCGGTGATTATCAAAGCAGTTTGAAAGATTCACGAAGGAGTCATTTTATTTCGTTACGAGGAAGGGGCCTTCAAAACTCGGAATCGTAAAAATCTCCTATTTATAACTATTTTTTTATTCTAGCGATATAATAATTGATGGTTTGGAACTTTAAAAAGGACTTAAATTATATCGTATAGTTATTTAGGAAAGGGGAATAGAAAAAGCAATTTTTCAGCTGTAAGCTGATTACAAAATGTAATAAAGATATCAGAACCTTATCTGATTGGAAGATTGAAGGCTGAGCGGTCAATCAGCTCGTGTTCCAGATAATTCTGAAGGCAAGGCCGTTCAGCGGAAGGGTCTTTTTACAACGATCAAACACGCGACTGTATTACAACGTAGAGATTTTTAAACCTTTTTTTATCATTTAATTTATCTTCAAAACTTTAGCAATGTTATTTCTGTGTCAGTTATTAAAAATTTCATTGCATTTTCTAGTATAGTCCATGAATGTTTGAATCAAATACCTCAATACGTTGAAAGTATACTCATATGTATTATGTAATCACACACCAGTATTGTGTAACGATAACTTATAAAGAAACTCATTGATTGAAAAGAGCTATTGAGTTTTAAAAGATTTATTACTTGAGAAGTGCTTTTATTGAGGATGTGACAATGTGTCTTTGTTAACAATTTTTAGATAAACATAACCGAAACTTTAATGGGACCAATTTACAACGAACTAACAAACCATGTTATGTACGTATTTACTTTGAAATAAACATTAGATTTGAGAACTTATCAAATATAAAAAGAGAATTAAGTCTCATTGATGGCTACGTATGAGAAGCAATATAAAATCCCAGAGGAAATTTATGCCTTGGTCTCCAGACCAGAATTATCGTAATAGTGAACTTTAAAGTGCGTTGTCCTGATACAACTTCGGTTTCTTGGGAAGCAAACATCCCCAAAGACCATGCTTTGAGTATCAAGGTCAACAAGTATTACGAGCTCACTAGGAATAGGTTCGTCGTGGTTTTGTTAGCGGTAGAAGTGGGAGCGAGAGGTAAAACGGCTAAATCTTTCTACAACCTACTAAAAGATTTGGACCTGTCCAGAACTAATATCAATTCATTCTTAGAACGTGCTTCGAAGACAGCCTAGGAGGTACTTTTCAAATTTTGTTACGTAGAGAAAGGAGCTTGTCCGGCGGAGGTGAGCGTTTAACGCGGTCCCAGGCACTGTTGAAGCTTTTATCCCTGCAATGCTATGGATTTGCACCGGGAATCTTTGAAATGCTTATAGTTTTTGTACCGTTTTGTCTTTGTTTCATAATATGGTATTCTTAACTGACCTGCAAATAGCAGTCCGAGGCAGAGAATGACTCCACCAGCTATCAGAGCTCCGAAGCCGTTGTCATCTTGCGTGGGTGCCGTCGAATCAGAATACTGCACGCCTCCAGCTATTAGCAATGCCAGACCTTAAAAAAATAATACATATTAAGAACCATATTGTTAAATACATCTTAAAACTATCAAAAAAATATATAACTAAAGTCAGAGTGAATTGTTTTTTTTTTATCACCATTTGATTTAAACTGTGAACGAACTCTTCTTTGTTACATACAACAGATTGTTAAGGTCATTACGCTACAAAAGTTTTTTGCGCCCACGTTAAACTAAAACTTTGGACAATTATCTCCTTTTTTACCTCAATTAAATACATTACTCATACATTTAACTATCAAATCGCTTTAAAGCCAATAGAGTGGAAACTATATTACTATATTATTAGATTTACTATATTACTATATTACTAGATTAACTATATTACCAGATTTTTTATTCATCAAATCGAATAAAACAAAAGTTATATAAACACATATAGAAACTAGAACAGGTATTGCAAGTCTACTTTAAACGGTTTTGCCTTACCTAAGTAATCTCGAAACGTGAGAAACAACATTTTTTAAATATAAAAATACGTATTAGAGTTGAATGCACTTGTATAAAATACTTAATTAGAATTAAAGAATCCAAAAACAGCTTTATTATATTTAAAACTAGATAATTAAAGTACTTGTGTAAAGTTATAACTGGAAAGTTAGTTCTAGTCTAGATTTTTAATTTAAAAGGATCCATTACGTATTTATGTTGATAATAATAAATTAAGAGAATCGAGTTTGTATTATGTACAAATCATTTTCTTTTTTAATTAATTTCCATTTTTTTAAGAAATATATATACATATATGTATATATATGTATATACGTGTGTATATATACATATATATACATACATATATATATGTATATATACACGTATGAACATAAGTCTGGTTGTTTGATCATATTATAGTAGAAATGTTTTAAAACGAGAAGAATCCAATAATTTCAAATTACTCAATACTGACGTGATACTTATAATTAAATATTATTTAGTGACAATTAATTAGTGATAATTAATTTAATGAATATAACTAATAACGTGTTATGAAATTATATTTTGTTGTGTAATGATTCGTCATGAATTTAAATTTTTTACATATAAAAATATTCATACACTATAAAGAAACTTATAACGATGTATTAAAAGTGAAGTAGGTACTTGATTACACTGAACTATCAGTAGATACGTTTACTTGAGTTAGTATCGTAGGTATATTTACCATTTTTCAATACAATACAAAAATCCTCCTTAAAGTATTGAAGTAGACTATTGAATGTGAAACGGAAAACGATTCGTTTGAAATGTTACTATGAGGAAATTCGTATTAAGAATACTGTTCTGCTTGGTTTTTTTCTTTCTGGAGAATTCTTCCTACATATACATACAACCTTTTTATAAGACACCAATTATATATTTTTTTATCTTTCATATAATTTTTGGTGTCAAGAATCGAATTTGGAATCCGGATAAAACGAACCATGTAATTGCCACGTTACGCCATTAATTCTTATAACGCTTTGCCAGTAGGAAATAATAAAATTCTATTTAATTAATTGTTAATATAAAAGACTTATAAGACTTATTTATTTATAAACATCAAGGTCACACTATGTTCTATATTATTATTTATTTTAAGACTATATTTAAAGTTGAGATTCTTGAAAATGAATTTGAAATTTAAAAAAAACATATAATTCACGAACATACGATTTACGAAGCTTTTCCCTTTTTTGAATGATTAACCTTTAATAAAAATATGTATAATGATAGAAGATTTATGAATGAAAAATTGTGTAAACTCCGTTTGTAGTATGACGATGCAAAATTACAGCTTAAACTAGTAAGCGTACCTACTTTTAAGAATATTAAATGAGGGATGCGAAAAATCTCTAGTGTTCTTAGTAATTTATTTCAATTTATTTTTGCTAAACTTTTCGTTACACTAACTAAAACTGTTAATCGCACAAAACCGTAATGCAAAAGTAAACAATATGTTCTCGTTTCTCAATACCTTCGCGTTAAGTGGAACAATTCCAAAAATATCACAAAATGTGATGACTCACATGGTTTTCGGTCTGTTACAATCAGGATTCTGAGGTTCTGACTAATATTTACATATTAAATCTCAACAAACATGACTATTGGATTCAAATACAAAATAAATAACATTATTTATACAACGTTGATTAAAATGTACATTATTTTCGTTGCACTCACACTCTCATTAATTTGTGAGTAATATTCAAATATAAAAACAATTATTACTCAACATCTCGCGGTTATAGTACTGCGGTTACAATAACTATTTGTACATAATTATTATAATTATATGAACGTGTAACTCAACACCCGTCGGCGAAGATCGAATTACAATAATACAATCTTGTAAACTTATCTCATTGTATACATCAAAGACAATCCTTGTACTAGCTTTACTTGAAGAAATCAAGTTTACTGAAAATGAAAAAGTATGATAAAAAAATGCATAAAAATAAATTACAATCTCTAACTAATTGTATCAATAAAATGTTTTCTTACTAAACCAATATATTCATAAACATTTTGTTTTATTAGTATATGTACTTCAGATAATTAATTTTAATATAAGACCTTTTTGTTAGTTGAAAAGAAAAAAATATACATAAAAATATTGAGAAACCTAACTTATCTTGAGATATAAACACATGTCAACAAAGAAGAAACATTCTTTGTATCTTATATAAAAAATATCTTAAATATTTTTAACATTTTAGTTATATATCTCTATATTCTAATAAGTGTTGCTATACAAAAAAAGAAAATTGCGCGATTTTTTTTATTACTTAAAATACCGTAAATACAAATATAGCAATATTAAATCTTTTATTTCTAGCTTTAAAAAATAACAGATTAAAAAAAACGAATAACCTATAAATAAATATGTCATTCAGCCAATTTACATTAATATTAAATACAATCGCAGTTCAATCTAGGATGGATGAGACATTATAATAAATGAACTGATTTGAAATTAATCTGTATTGGTGGCGTTATTACGTTATTTAAATTACAAATTATTTTAATTTAAAACATTAACCTTCTGATAATTACAAAAATAACAAATTTTGCATCGAATTAATTGTTTATCGAGCAGTGTTTTTAGTGTAATTATATTACGTTTACGTATCCAAAGAATTTGAAATGATATTATAATAATTTTTACAACAATTAAAAGTTGTAACACATACGAATACATAATTTAGCGCAATTAATATAGATTCGTATTTCGTACAAGTATAAAACGAAAAATATATTTGTTTCTTTAAGTAGAATTAAAGGGTTTGTTAAGGACGACTAAGTAGTAGTAAGTAGTAAGGAATACTGTGTTTCTTTATCCCTGTGAACAACACTATTGGAAAAACATTAACTGGAATCTAATTCTATTTCTAATTATTATATAGGAATTTTTCCTTTTGACGTCATCAATCATACAAAAAGCGTCATACTCTACGTTTACGACATATCATTTACAGTGCATATAGAAAATTATCTTCAATTCGAACGAAATTAAACATCTTTATATCATAAATATAGTGTAAATATTATTAATAAGTACAAAACAATGAAATAAAAGTTACATAAGTAAATAGTACCTCACTAACTTTCAGATCGATCCATCTTTGCATAATTAATTTTGCATTCACGTAACCACGTTGACATTGTACATATATAGTGTGCAATGATTTATTAATTTAAACCTGAATCTGTATGGGTTTTTATAATAATAAATACGTATTGTACATCATAAAGCAACCCTTCAGCATAACCAATGAATATTGATTTACACCGTCCAACTCCATTCACATATCTACTTATACTTGATGGCATTTATAAAACCTAACATTAAATTTTATTACAAGGACTATATGTATATGTACATATACATATAAACTGTATATACAGGGTGACTGGTGAATTACTATCGATACTTGAGGACGTGATATTTGACGATCATATATGACAAAATAAAAATTAATATAACATAAATATTAATAAACTTCTAAGTAAAGTTAACCAAAAGTTATGTAATTAATTACGCATCGTGTGAACACCCTACAGATTAGGTATACACTCACACTCACACATACGCGTGTTGCGACGTAGTGTTGTATCAGCACGCCGCCGCACGCGTCCACACTTGAACACTTGGAACGTGTCAACACTTTACTTATTTATACGGAAATTTTGTCAAAAATTAAGTGCCTATTTTTTTTACATAATTCGAATGAGAATCATGTACCGAGTATTCTCCTTAAATATCGATAGTAATTCACCAGTCACCCTGTAGAAGTTTAAAAGTAGCTGATGCACGCGACTCCGTCTGTTATTTAATAAACATTTACAAAGCATTCGTATATACAAGAAAACTCATATCACTGAACATTTAATGTATATAAAATAGTCTTATCTATAAATTTGAAAAACTTTATAAGTATATAAGGTCGAAACTATAGAAGAATACTAACGCGTTTTTGGTTATGTATATAGAAGATAGATTGAAAATATATAACTTGATAAAAATCCCCATATTACCTGACCATGACCTTGAGAACAGTTCTATATTTTAATGACCAACGATGCAATATAGAACAACTAAATATAACAATTCCTCGTATGTATTTAATAGGCCATTAGAGCGGAATTCAATATCGGCCCACATGAATCGTAATTAACGTATTTGAAATAATAAATTTATCTTGAATATTTCTAAAATATGCTTTAATATTAGGTTATATAGCAATCAATAAAAGTTTTAAATATATTTCATGTCTTATTATACAGGATCAAGGACCGTTATTGAAGCCTACTCATGCACAGTTATAATACGTATACCCTTAGTACGATCCGCAATGTAATCTTTATACGGACAGTTTAACGTTCTGTATTCGTTAAACCTCGGCGATACAATAATGTCAAAGAAAATAATTGTAATATCATGTAGAAAACATTATACGTTAGAAAAATGGGTCTAGTATATTGAATTACGAAATACAAGTAACAGCTTTCGTACTAATTCCTCCATTCGTTAATAATAATAGTCGTAATTGAACCAAGTGTAATTCATACATCTATCCGATTAATTGTTTAAATTGTAGGTATTAATGTTTAAGATTAAGAATTCGTACTAAAGAAATATATATACATATACGTGTCTGGTTTACTACAAGCTTCTTATAAGGGTACACACATTGCCCGGCGCTAACGCAGCCCTGACTCACTTGCGGCTTGCGTAGTTAGCACATGACATAGTGATGTTTAAATAAAACATTACCTACCATATAGTACGTTATAAATGATCTATTAAACGCATAGAAACCGACTATATTTAATTTAACAAGATAAATAAAATAAATTCGTCGAGTCAGATTTATAAATTATTGTAATAAAATTCAATTAAAGAGAATAAAAACGTGATGTATTTTATATAGACGTGATGTTTTAAGACGTTTCAGCCATTGTAATTGTTAGTGAACCGAATACGAATATTACGCATCGTGGTCTGTACTCGTGCCAAAGAGACTCGTCTGAGCACGTACATTAAACTCTTGTAAGACGTAGAGTAATTTTTAAATCAATCAGAAGGTTATTCCATTTCAATCTACTTACATATTGATCACAAATTAATTTCATTAAAATACCTTAAGGTTCTAGGTTTTATATGTATGGTGGAATTTAATTTTAATTAGACAAAGTTCCTAGTCTAGACAATTTCATATTTATATAATGCATTTCGCGTAACGTTTAAAATGACGTAATTCAAAGATGGAACCGTATCGGCCTTCAGAGCTTGTAGTGTAACCACTAGCAAGCTAACGAAGGTCGACAAACTCTTGGTGCGGCACCGACTTGTTTCCGTAATGTAAGTACCCTTTACTTCCTCGCTCGCTCCTTGAACACTCATAATATATGTTACCATATATAAATAATAAATAACTGACAGATATATAATTCATTTATTATCTGTATCACTTCAATAGTATATATATTTATGAATAATATAAAACCTCCAAGGTTTCTCGTTCGAAAATTCCATATAGTAATTTAAATTTATAAAACATAGTAGTTGAAAAATGTCAAGAGGTTCAATGTCGACGGCTCTTTGTTAGTTATAATCACGGAACAGTATTTCCGTTTCGCTCTTGAAAGCTGTTTTATGTGACGCTTTATGATGGAGAGATTTTTTCTTTAGATAAATTAAAACGTTCCAATTTTGCAAACTTAATGTAAATGAAACATTTGACGCAACTCCCAACGGGTTATTAGAAGCATGCAAACTTGTTTAGAATAAACCTGAATTCGTTCGTCGTAAGATTAAAATCCACTCCTAATAAGATTTACTTTATAAAACTATTTTTTTTTTTAATTCTATTTATGTAAAAAAAATCATTTCATTCGTTATATTTTTCCTGTAACTTAAAATATAGACAGCATTATTATTATCTACTATAAAGAAATTTTCCTTAAAAAAATTCTTTAAATTGATGACAAATAAAACTTTCTTTTGAAACGCATATCAATAAGTATAATATGTATAGAGAACATAGTAAAGAAAAGTAAAAAGTCACAGAACACGACTCATGATGGCAAATTATCTTATTGCATAAAAAAGCTTGATGGATGTGTTAAGTAAAGGTTGTATAATATTATAAATGATTCTAAATTGAAGTGAAAGCAGTGTTTCGGAGCAACTGCCCACTACAAACCTACGGCTTCCGCTGGTTTGACCCATTTACGAAATCAAATTTGTGTACAATAGAACAACATAATATGAATTAAATTGATCCAAATACATATTCAGATAATAAATCATGAAACACGACACAATCTATAATATTATTACTCCATTATCTTTCAAAACCAAGATCTTTAAGTTAATAATAAGCTTTGATCAAAATAACAAAGAGAAGTGTTATTTGTGCAAACGGTTTTCAAACACGACAAACTGTATATATTATAAAAAGTACCTACAACTTGATCGTTGTAATTTAAAAATCGAACAAGAGAACGTAATTAAAAAAATCAATAAAATATGTAATGTCATTCAATAACTGCAGAGAGAAAAAAATGCATTAAATTTATCACATTTCCACGATTCGTTTGACCACGCCTTAACCGTTATTCAGCCGATATTCAAACTATTATTAATCTCCAATGCCTTTACGTCCGATAGTTTATGCAAATCAATCTCATTGTCAATAGGGTTGACAGTCATTGATTCCGTCGGATATGTTTTAAAATTATTCCCGTTTATTTCCGGTCAATTAACTATAAAAAAAAGCACTTGACAATGTAGCTTTTAATAAACAGGATGGAAACGAATTAATTTTTATAGACAGTTCACAGTTGTGACAACCCTCGTTTCGTTGTATACGTGACATGGTTGCTGTATTGAAGGATGTAAGGGCGTATTCATATTACAATTCCGTACGGTAAACGGAAGTGACGAGTTATTATTCCAATACAATTTTATTATTATTTATTTCCTATTGTGTATTAATGTATAGGAAAAGCAATGTTTCATATGTTGTATAGTTTAAGAGCAGAGTTAGATAATTTTTAATATATGTTAGCCAATGTATCTTTATAATTTTTATATGAAATGATGATGGTGGACATATAAGTTACATAAGAAATCGGATAAAAAGTTTCGACAAAACATTTGTCTTTTAGTCTTTAAGTATGTTTATTCTGTCATTGGTGTTAAATTGTGAACATTCAAATTATTATACACTTTTTATTATTGGATCATATCATTGTGGGCACTGTTAATGATATAAAAAATATTTACTTGAATTTTGTCAAAAATTGTACACAATAGATTTTCCGTTACAATGATGATAACTCATATTTTTAAAGTTACTGATACTTATTAGATTATTTAAAATTATAAAAATATTCAATTACATTGTAATTTATAGTATTACATTTTTTTATCATACAAAAATAACAAATTGTTTCAACAAATCTGTAAAACAATAATTGAACCTTAATACAATATCGTTACCAGTGACATTTTTTTGGTACATTTAACGACTACAATATTTCCCAATGAAAAGGGTTTTTCTATATCTTTCACTTTTTTTCATTGCATTATTTTTATACTATAATTTAAAATTATGACTATAAGTATACAACCCTTACGTAGATTAATTAATATGTAACCTTTCATGACATAAAACTTTTGATTCTAACAATATACAATAAACATTTAGAATAATGAATTCTAATATTATGCACATAAACTTATCATTTAAGCGTACCAAATCATAGATAAACTTTCCTCTGTACCTTAAGTAATATTTAAAATTATAGAAATGATTTTAATAGTACTTGACCAAGTTATAGCATACAGAGCTTCATATAAGGTATAACTTGTTGCTACAAGTAATAAGGATGTTAAAATGAGCAAAACCAGAAATAAACAGCATTAGTCATCTATTGAAAATATAAACTTTATAACCAGTCTTTCCTGATATATAAAAATAAATAATGTCAGCGTTCCTTACCATAAAGCCCAATGTGCGAAGAGCCCTATTTACTTATTAACACATTATAATAGTTATTATAAATATACTAAAATATATGATAACATTAAATACTTGTTATGGAAGTATAAGTATAATCTAGACATTATTTACCTACTTCTATTGGGGTAAGAAAATTATTTGATATAAAATCAGGATTTGTAAGCGACAATTAAGTATATTTTTGTTTATAAACAGTTTAAGCTTTATAATAAATAGTTGTGATTTTCATTTTTTATATTATTTATTTTTTATAATATTCGAATTCTACTAAGATTCTAATACGTTTTAAATGAAAATTTCATCAAATATACTGTTATTGGAGTGTATAGGATAATATAAATTACTCACCAATTATGAAGAAGGTACTGCCCAAGAGGCACAAAGCGACCCTGATACACAATGCCCGGTTCAGGCTACTTGTCACTCGTCGTGAGAAATAGCTGATCGGACAATTCCATCGTTGATCATTAGGCTGTTGCTCATAAGTAACTGTCGTAGGCTGATATACGGCACTGGTCGGCATTTTGATTTATATTATAAGATATAATATCAAAAAATATTTCACCACCTTATGCGCACTCACTTCATTAACAATGAACCATAACAAATAACGAAGCAACTAATATACGTAAAATGCCCCAGTGAAATCCAATCTGTTAGTTACACCGTACGGTTTGACGGATTCAAGAAACAACAAAGAATATACACATTTGTTTTAGTGGTAATAATAATGATAAGCGCGTCGGTGACTGCGTTGACTTCACCCTCGCATCGACGATCGAAAAATACGAAACGGAGACATAGACAACGTATTTGACATTGACAACAATGACATTTGACTAAAACTACTCGTACTATTTTATATGCTGTATTGGTTGATGTTGATCATTCTCAGAATTAATAAATTTTTTCAAATCAAAATTCCAAGTTTCGAATTGGAGTTAAATTATTACCATCCTTAGTTCAAAAAGGTTAACAGACAAAAGATACAACAGTGTAAATAAAACACAAAACGTTTATTTCTTATTCGTTTTAAACTAAATAGTAAAAAATATATGGAGTACATTTTTAAAACTAAATATTGTGCAATAGAAATTGGTGTGTAGACCTAATTTATTCAGATTATAGCTAAAACATTAGCTAAGGAATGATGGGATAGTGATTTTTATTTTTTCTTTAAATATATAAATTTTAATTTCAATCATAGTAAGCAGTCCTATATAAAAATAATATTTTATAGTTATATCAAAAATGGATACTAACGAATCTTTATCACATCGTAAATAATTAAATGAAAATTATTTGAATCCAGACGTAAAACTCTGATTAGAAATTCGTATCTAAAAGTAACAAAAAAAGGAGGCACTATATTACAAACGTTTATTAACTAATAATAAATCGTTACGTGTGTATATAAATAAAATAAAATAAAAATTGTGCAAAAATATTGTTTATTTCAATGCAGGTATGATAACCATTAAATCATTACATTGCTAACAGTCATACATAACTAAGCTACATCTCTAATGTTATTAAAAGGTAAAAGGCACTCATCCTTGTTATAAATATTCATTGTTCATCACCTAAAATATTTATAATACAATAATACAGTATAATAACTATCCTTAGTAAAAACTATAATAATATATTATGTAATATAATGTTAAGCAAATTAAATAATTATCTATATTGAATATTTCATTTGTTTTAACATATTTATTCTCATGTGCAAATATTGTAAATGTGTTTAAATAAAAAGGCACCTTATGAGCAATGGCCTCACGATTTCAATAACAATATTTTATTAAATATAATCACTGTATATTTGTAAAAGAACACATTCCTTGTGCTTTGTACTGAAATCAATTATATACAATTTTTAATTAAAAAGAAAATATGCTGTAATATTAGGCAGCAAAAATTGATAAATGGTATATTTCATAATACATTGATGTATAGTATAGGCCAACAAGAACGCATATAATTTTCTCACAGATTCTACTTTGATTTCGTCAACAATACAAAATTATTTAATGAGGAATCAATTGAACACAATATTATTAATATAATTCATAAGCTCGATTAAGCATATATGAAGTGTGTAAATACATTTGAGCATCATACCAATGATTTTATGATTAAGGCTTAAAATGCAACAATACTTATTTGTAACCAACAAGCGTCAATACATAGACCAATATTAAAAATTAATGGAAGTTTCAATACATGTATTTGTTATTATATTCTGCAGGTACATATTAACCGATAAGGCATTTTTAGAATTGAACTTTATTCGACCGTTTTCAAATTGATTTCATTTTTAAATTTTAATTTAATAGATGCCATTAAATTTTGTCATGTCAATCTTCAATTTAATCAGTCTCATTAATTACGTTTCATTTACATATTTGTCTTATAAATGATTGGTGTAGAAGAATATTATTTATATATATACAGAATATATCATTCAAACGTATAATATAATCTCATTCGACGGCAAATCCTGCCGTTTCCAACACGGCCTGTTTGAGTTTGTCGTGTAATTTTTCCTTGGATGGATATGGCGGGAGATCGAGTCTATTGAAACACGTGTGCGCCTTGGGAAGGGAATCCGGTGACGCGTCAGCGACCAAATGCAAAGTGAATAGTCTAGGAGCCGCCGCTCCCGTGGAACCCTGTAAAGCTCTGAACCCAGCGAGGGGAACGCGCCTTGATCCGGTAACGAATTGCAATAACCTAGCTCGCATTTCCGCGTCGAACTCCTCGACTATCTCCCAGAACCAACCAACAATTGGCGCGTCTGGATTCACGTGTTTCAGGCGAGTGTGCCTCTTCCAGTCAACAGGATCTAGATCAGCTCTCCCAGCCAATAAAGGTTGGAGATCTCTGGGAGATAGTGGTTGTAGGAGTTGCGGTGGAATAATATCAGCGAGACCCCTTTGTAATGCCAGCCATTGCCTTTCCGCTCCTCTAGTAAATCTATGCGCTACATACAGACGTACGTAATCTCTTTTGTTTGAATCTGTAACCGGTTCGTTAGTACCGCCAGGCCTCAACTCGACGCTCCGCACCGCCCCGAATGACGAACTCTCGACGGAGAACGTCGTGTCTATGACACCGGCTATGCTATTTTCGCTGTATACATAAAAATGTGTTTTAATTATACGATAATTTCACTACAGAAGTAGGCATATAATAATAAAACTAACTGCCATAGACAAAAAAGTTTATACTCACAGCATCCAAGACAGTGATCTGTGTAGTTCAGGGTCAACATCTCGTATATCCCTGAGTGTGATGGGTCTTCCTAGTAGCTGTTTATAGAAGGGTGCGGTGAAGGCAGCGTCCAGCTGGTGTCCGTGGAACAAGGCCACGCCGAGGATACGACCAGCGAAATGGAAATATGAAAGATGTTCCGGATTCACCTGGATATTAGAAATTACATATTATATAATTATTAGCTTTCCGCCCGCAGCTTCATCCGCGTGGAGTTTGATTATATCGCGTTTCCGAGAGAACCTTTCAAAAGTCTGGAATAAAAACTATCCTATGTTCTTTCTCAAGATCAACTCTATCTCTGTACCAAATTTCATTAAAATCAGTACAGTGGTTTAGGCGTGAAAAAGTAACAGACAGACAGACAAGAGTTACTTTCGCATTTACAATATTAGTAGGGATGACTATATAGATTGTCGAATATACATTGATAATAATTAATGTAGCATTCAGATGAAACTCATTCAAGATATCTTTGTATGTACTATACAAGTTGAATATCAAATTTAGTAGTTATTGTAATGGTAACTTTGATTTTGAAGGCTAAACAAATTCAGTCTCTTTTATAATCAAAATAATTCTGGAAATGTTGTTATTTGGGTAATGATTTCGTTTAAATATATTAAATCTATTGAAAGTTGATATTATTAATAGCTTTTTCCTATAATAATATTATTAATCTATCTATCTATATTTGTCAACCAAATCATTTTCTTGCTTTTACTAAATTTTCAAATAACCAAATTGATAAAAATAAAGGGTTCAGATCTATATTATAAATTAGGGAGCGTTCAAGTATTACGTAACGCAATTTTGGGGGAGGGGGGGTCTCGTAAAACGTTACGATGCGTTACTGGGGCGGGAGGGGGTGTCTCTTACAAAACGTTACGTAGCATTGTTTCTAAAAAAATATATTAATAAAAACCCCCAAACTAGCAACTCTTTTCATTTACATTACATTGTTGACCAGATTGTTTTAGTCTGGTCGATATTTTTATTTGTATTCCAAGTTTGCAAACCTCTTAATTGATATTTTCGGGGAATACATAGATTGCATTGTAAGTCTTTTGATGAAATTGATCACTTGAGTGTTACGTAACGTTTTGAGAAGGGGGGGGGGCTACAGAAAAACGTTACTGTGCGTTACGACGGGGGAAGGGGGGGTCAAAAATCTTCGAAAATTGCGTTACGTAATACTTGAACGCTCCCTTATCTAAAATGTATTAACAATAGTTATTGTCAGTATCAAATTTTCATATATGCTAGCCAACAGAATAATATGATTGAGTTATTAAACTTAAATTATGATCTTAGTACTTGAATTATAATCTGATAATTTTTTTTATATTATATAATAATATTACTCACCCCAGAGTCAGCATTAATCTGTAAAGCGTATCTATCGTCGCCAGCATTAGCGTACTGAAACAGTCCATAGTGCGGGTTGAAGAGTTCTCTGCCCAACAGATGGAGCCACTCGCGGGCCACTCCGCCGTAGTCGAGGCCTTCTTCACCACGAAATTTTACGAGCAAACGTTTCCTCAATTCCTTACCACGTAGCTTCATCACGAGACGGTACGATTCTTCTAGTACTTCGTTACGTGATACCTGGAAAATTATTTAATTCAAGTTTATTATTGATAATTTGTTTAATAGTTTAGACTTTAGAGGTTCAACTAATCTGTACCTTGATTGTGGATAGCGTTAGTTTGACGACTAATAATAAAGTATTAAGATTTCGATTTATAAAGCAATTTATTAGTGGATAATCTGTAACTATGTCCATATTAAGTTTAACAATGAAAATTTGTGGTGATTGTACTGGAAATAATACTTATATGAAATTTAAACCATTTCATAGACTTACTTCAATCCTACAGTGTCCTGTTTGTGGCTGTAACGCTTGTAGCTCAGCTCTCAAAACTCTCGCCTTAGCCGCTAGGTCTCGTTTATATTTAGGTAGAGCGTCGTTATCTGCTGGCCAGTTTGTATTCGCGTTTGTAGGCGGAGGGCTTGTAGGTGGTACTGGCTCAGTTGGCGGCGCCTGTGGTATTATTTAGAAAAATATTATCAAGGACAAGGAAATAAAAAATATTAATACTGGTCACCAAGTAGAATGACATTTTCTTTCACTTATTTTCAATTAAACCTGAAATGAGTGAGTCTATGATGATCATATTTCATAAAGAAATAAAGAAAAAGAAATATAGCAGACAAAATGTAGCAGAAAAAATATTGCTCCTCATGGATTCTGCAGTATTGCTGCCTGAATCTCAGAATCTGGTAACTTAACAGAATAATGAAGACTATCAATATTAACAATAACCATCAGCCTATTTTGATATGATCACATGGTAATATCAAATACCTACTCGCAAAAAAATTATATAGAAATAATAGTATCCTTTACGTTACAACAGCGGCGATCGTATAAAAAAGCGAAGTAAATCCGATTAACACCAGAATATCTGGTCAGGTTCTGCTGTAAGAGGAATGTATCTCCACTGGTGTGCCCTGTCGCTAACAGATCCGGGGTACACCGACATAGCGGCCGATGGCTTTCGCAGTGGTTTTAGTGAGTAGGGGGCCTGCCCAGGCCTAGCCTCACACATCCCTTCCGGCCTAAGGCCGGTTGGACGGCTCGTAAAAAGAGTTACGTTACGTTAGTTACGCAGGGCGTAATCAAAAACAGGAATGTATCTCCAACTAACAATTCTGGTTGTCAAAGCTAGTCTGGGGTCAGTGAACTGTGTGGTTCTGTTGTTATGATCCACGAAGTACGGCCGTCCAGAGTGCGTGTGTCTCATCTCCCAGCCGGGCGGCAGTGGCCCAGCGACCGCGGCGCAGTGTCTCAAGTGTTGTGGGACGCGCGGGTCGTGCCACGTGGACGAGCGGGTGCTGCCGTTGTAGAAGTACACCTGACCTTGTACTGTGATTCTCATCTCTGGAAACGATATACTTTATATAGAAACTGAACAAAGATGTTATGTTTTGTATGGATAACATGTTAGTTTTTTATGCGTGTTCTGTTAGTGGATAGAATATTATACAAGAAAAATTGTCTTAATACAATTTATATATCAAAAATATTCAGTGTACTTACAGAGTCAATGTACGATTCTACGGGAAAGTAAACCTTGATGTAATTTTTTTAAAGTTTTTCTTTTTTTTTAATTATTATATACAGGGTGACTGGTGAATTACTATCAATATTTAAGGAGCCTACTCGGTACATGATTCTCATTCGAAATATGTAAAAAAAATGGGTACTTAATTTTTGACAAAATTTCCGTATAAATAAATAAAGTGTGGATACATTCCAAGTGTTCCAAGAATGGACGCGTGCGGCGGCGTGCTGATACAACACCACGCCGCCGACGTGTGTGTGTGTGTGTGTGTCTATATACCTAATCTGTAGGGTGTTCACACGATGCGTAATTAATTACACAAGTTTTGGTTAACTTTACTTAGAAGTTTATTAATATTTATGTTATATTAATTTTTATTTTGTCATATATGATCGTCAAATATCACGTCCTCAAGTATCGATAGTAATTCACCAGTCACCCTGTATATCGATACAAAATACTTAAAATTGCACGATACTTTAAAAAATATTAGTATATTAATATTTTTTTTATTTGTTATTAAGTTGCAAACTTGATTAATGAATTTTATGCTGATTTGGATCTGAAAAGATGCAAAGCTGTCAAGCTGAGTGTTTAAAATGTATACCTTGATGCAGACCCAAGCTACTGAACTGACTCCCATGATGAAACTAGCATCCATATCAAGAAATAAAAACTTATAAGTGACTCCTTGTACCAAGTAAATCGTACGTGTCCCACCCGTGACAGTAAAAGTCCCACCCGTGACACACCTTATTTATTTTTTGTAAAAATATGTGTATATAATAGAACATTATTTTCTATTCAAATGTGAAGTTTAGTTTATTGTCTCAAAGAAATATTGTAGTCTGCATAAAAAAATTATCAACTAGCAGAGTTTTATTAAATATCATGCATGTGTAATTGTGTAACAAGAATGTCACAACTTTGTCCCACCCGTGACAAACATTTACTGTCTTCTTTATTAAATTTTACATGGTGTTATTCACGGCTTTATTGTACCTATAAAAGTACATGGATATGTACTTTTATAGGTACAATACAATACAATACATATAATTTATTACATTCTATACAGGGTGATTGGTGAATTACTATCGATACTTGAGGACGTGATATTTGACGATCATATATGACAAAATAAAAATTAATATAACATAAATATTAATAAACTTCTAAGTAAAGTTAACCAAAAGTTATGTAATTAATTACGCATCGTGTGAACACCCTACAGATTAGGTATACACACACAAACACATACACGCGTGCGGCGGCGTAGTGTTGTATCAGCACGCCGCCGCACGCGTCTACACTTGGAACACTTAGAACGTGTCCACACTTTATTTATTTATACGGAAATTTGGTCAAAAATTAAGTAACTATTTTTTTTACATAATTCGTATGAGAATCATGTACCGAGTATTCTCCTTAAATATTGATAGTAATTCACCAGTCACCCTGTATAAACCAATTAGATATCATTGATACAATTAGCGTAAATAAGCCACACACGCTGAAAATCGAGGTACAAGGGTCCCACCCGTGACGCTAAAATCCCCCTGTAGTAACCATGTCCTGTATTATCTTACTGGCATATTTTAGTAAGCCGATATATTTAGAAGTGGAGTCATTTGAAGATATAAATGTTCTACTATATTTTATATGAATCTTTTTATTTTACCATATCCGGGCGGTAGATCGGTATTCGCTATCGGCGTTACATTGACTGAAGGTGTAGACGGCTGACGACTTCGGATCGCTGTCTGCGGTTGAGGTTCAGGTCTGTAGAATAAAATAAATATAAATTATGTATATGTATATACATATATACATTTTTTTACTGGATTTATATAAACCTAATAATCACTTCGAGCCTAGCTGAGAAATAGATTAAATTATACTGACAAATCATCTCAAATATGAAAATCAAATAAATTGATAGCTACAACAAGGCACTAAACATTCATAAGCAATATTTAATGGAATAATATCAACTGTATGGGTATATAAAGAGAGTTTATATAAGAAGAAGATATTTTCTTTTACTATTTTTAATTAATATACTACTGGAGAAATAGTAAATTAAAATAGTAAGCGAATAACTAATAGTAAATTAATTCGAAATTGGAATACATTTTTTAAATAGACTTAAAACTGGATTGACCTTTCAATACTTTTCATATTTAATATCTGATGTGAAAAATTCAATACCTTAAGGATATAGAAGCTACATGGCTGTCATCGGACACAGGGGAAGATGGTATGGTGGGCGAGGAGGGGGAAACGGGGGAATTAGGGGACACGGGGGAATTTTGGGATACGGGGGAATTAGGGGATACGGGGGAATTTTGGGATACGGGGGAATTAGGGGATACGGTAGGGGGGATAGTAGGGGACGACGGTGACAGGGGGGAAGTAGTCGGACGCTCCCATTGTGATCTACACAGCTGATGGTTTATGTAGAAAGGTCTGAAATAATATCACACATTTAATATATCTGTTATGTTAATAACATATTAAGTATATTGGAAGAATGGAATAATATGAAGTTTATATTATAATGTAAGATTTGTTACAATATATGTTCTTGGTCTGTTATAACTATTGTTATTATGAGTATTAGACAGACAGCTGGAAGTTGTCTTGTTACTAATACTTAATATTTGTGTTAAATATTTTGTTATGTTCTAAACTCTACATCAACAGTTTCTTTAAAGTACCACAACTAAAAACTAGTGTGCCAATTTGATATGTACTTTAATATTGCTGATATATAAGATATTATAGCAAAAATGTGTGACATCATTTAACAAATCTTTTCACTATCATACAATAGTCCTTATCAACTCACCTTCCAGCGGGTGTAAACCTCTGTTCCCAGTGAGGCGGGAGTGGTGTTTCAGTACTGACTGAATCCCTCGGTGCTCGTACATCACCAGCGGGGCCCACTACAGCCAGCGGGGAGCCTTCGCCCACAGTAGAGGCCTGCTCGCCTCGGGCTCCGTCCCGGGACAGAAGCGACACTATCACTTGACCGCGAACACCGCATACCTCACCTGTACTGTCCTCGCAGAGCTCCAGACATTGATCTGATGGTTAAAATAATATATAAACTATAGTAATATTTAAAATAGTTCTAATTTATACTAGTTTTTGCCTGGAACCTTGCCCACATGTCTATGGAATTGGACTCAGAGCAAAATGCATCAATTATGGTTTAACAATAAATACAGTAACCAACCGGCCACAACATCCTTAGTCACTTTAAGCAAAATAAAAGTGTAAATAGGCAAAGATCATCTACATGTAAAAGCTTGTCTTCTGATGCCTAAGCAACAACAACTCTTACTGTAGTTTCATCAAAATCCATCAAATAATTTTTGCATCAAATATCAACAAAAATCCATAAATCATCAAATACTTCAACCTTCATACTATTAGTATGATAAAACAGAAATTACATACATCCTGTGTCTTTCAGCTTGTGTACTGTAGACGGCTGAATTCTAACACAACCCAGGAAACCAGAGCCTTGTCTTTTATGTATTTTACGTTGATTCCACAAACTGAAAATAGAAAAAATGTGATAAATTACAATAGGAAATGAGACAAAACCGTTAAGTATAGTAAATATTGCAAGACCAAAATAAAATATATACCTAATTGTGATTCCTTCACCTTTGGTGAGATACAAATCATAATGAGTATTCCATTTTGGTTCCAATGTTGCTTTCACAGCACTAGTTGAATAAACCTGACCACTGCCATCAACTGATATCTTTGCAAATGGATCCGGTAAGCCTGTAAAGTTACCATTACAAAGTTTTCATTAATAAATTTACATAAATATACTTTGAAGATTATAAATATTAAAATACTATATTCCTAAAATGTCCTGAACAAATAAATATTTCTTTAACCTTATTTGCTAATGAAAATTTATCATGAATCAAGGTAAGAAATATAGGACATATCAAAGATAGCTTTTATCTTAATCGAAGATAAAAAAGTGTTTGGAGAAATGCAGTTTAACTTTACATGTGTATGAGATTATGATCATAATATTACATTGTTTTTTGTCCAAATTATTTATTTATTTATTATTTACATTCATTGAGAAATAAAAAGATTGATATAGTAGATATTAATATAAATAGTTACATAATATATTCTTCCCCATTTTTGTTATATAAATCTAAAATAATAATAAATAATAGATTTTTTATCTAAATTTCACTTTTATTTAAATGTAATTAGGCATTGTTTAGTTAAATGAATTATTATGTAATCAGATTTATTGCCTTAATTAGCAATTCTTAGAAAGTGTACGACTACATATGATGTTTTATCTCTACAAGATTCTCAGAACCACAACAAAGAGGGCTGTCAAGCATAACAGCTTATACTGAAGAATGTAAAAATTCTAAAACTGAAAATAATACTGGTATTTACGAACTATTATAAAAAACGTCAATATATGCTACAAAATTGAGTTAAGCCATTAGCCTAAACTCAATTTTTATATCCTATCCAAAGAAGAATTATTATGTTTAAATAATTTCATCTTGTATAAATATTAGGACGAGGTAATGATTACCTTTATTTTTTTTTAAATGAAACTAATATTTTTGGGATGTACTTGCATGCTTTATTTTTGTAAAAATTACATACTCCCGACGTTACAGCTACTTTTCAGCAACTGTGATCATTGTGTCATTTAAATAAATAAAGCTCACAAAAGTCTTAGATCTCATTATGTGAACCAGTATGGACTGGAAATTACCTTTATTTTTGTATTATAATACTATGTAAAAAAAAATATTTGTTGGTCTTTGAGTATATGGAGGTGAAAATGTTTATGACCCTAAATAAATTAATAGATGATAAATCATAATCAAATAATAGCTCACTACTTTGAACCAAATATATCATAATTATTGGTAAATTAAAGTTAGGTTTGCTATTTTATATGTTTTCTTTGGTTTGTGAGTATTATTGTAGTATAATGGTAGTATATGGAAGTTGAACGCAGAGAGACATTTAAATTTTTTTTGGATATTTTGAAACTTTTAAAGAGTATTTATTATATGCTTTTTAGATATTTATTCTGGAATAGATATAATGTTGTAAAGTTTTCATTTGAATGAAACTAATATTTTTCATATTATATGCCCTACATACTATGTTGGGAGTAGTTTCATTTAAATGTAATAGGAAGTTCTTAGTAAGTGTAAAAATCTAGTAACCTATTTCCCAGTTAATTAATAGTCACAACATACAAGTCTTCAATCAAACAAGTATCATTAAACAATTTAATTCACACCACATACAACAATTGACCTTCACATGAATAAAACAGACATTAGTATTAATAATTAGACAATGGCTTTAAACCAAAACAACTTCATTTACATATTACGAAAATGAGAAACCCATCCTTTTTTGAAGTCGGTTAAAGAACAGTTTGTGATCATAAAAATTGTATAAAATGCAGTATCATGTAAAGATTTATGTTTTTACAAACCCGGCTGAAATTAGTTGAAGACTTTCATAAAAGAGAAACCATGTAAAAACATGTAATTAAAAATTTGAAGATATAATTATTACGATGTATTATTGTTTTACATTAAAAATAAAATTTTATTTCAATTGAAAATATGTTCCACATGATAAGTGTGTATCATGAATCTTATATAATATCTTTAAATAACAAATAAATACGCAATTAACTTTTAGTGTTATGTTTGAAGCATATGATAGCATTACATCCTTCGTTATTACCCAATAGGTAGTTAACTCAATTTAAGACATTACAAGTATAATACAATTATTCTTGTTACTTACGAAACAAATCCCTCCGGACTAAATTTCTAGCGCATAATACTGAAACAAGAAAAAACGCATTAATAAAGGAATGACAATCAAACTGAAATCAAAATTACATTGCGTTTACGGAACACACTGGTGAAAGGTTTTATTACTTACTTGTAAGCCTAATTTTTTGTGCCCCATATTTACGGTTAGACACTGGAGTAGACATTTTTTGAATGTTTATTAAACATCACCGTGTTTCATTATAATTTTATTACGTTAAATTGAACAGTTTTCATTTCACTTCAACCACCATCTTTATTTTATTCTATTCACTGACTAACTTTTTTATTTTAAAAGTTTAGCACTTGATTCTAGTGAATATGTTTTTTTTGTACTGAATTTGTCTTAGAAATTGGTAAATGCACAGATACAAACGAAAAATAGGTTTCATATCTTACGCACGAACTTACATTCAATTTATTTTCCTAAGGAACATATTTGTTATTATTTTAGTTACCGAAACTCTATCAACATATAAAATTCAAAGAGCAAAATAAGTGAGAAGTATAATAAAAAAAAGGTAAATTTCAATCATTATTTAAGAAAATGTGTTATTATGATTTAAAAACAGCAGTATATTTGTTTTACAGTCAAAGTACAGAATATGACCGTTGCACTTGAAAATTATTATTTTGACGTATTGCCTATTCTTATTATTTATAAATCTCGGAGTGCTCCAGTGCCTTTCCAAATTCCAATTGAACTAAATAAATACTTGCCTTACTTCTATTCTATAAAACTACAAGCAAAATACGACGAATATGAGATAAGCAATTTATAAATTAGCCAAATAAATTTTTATTTTATTTTCTCAATATACTTTATAAGATTTTAATGCAGTTGATTTAACAACACGATCCAAATGAAGAAAAATAAAAACACCTAAACAAGAATGAAGCCATAGCATAAAAAAAAACCTAAACAATCAAGTTCCAGGGATCTGACAGCTGACATTTTACATGACAATTACTTGTTATTTGTAAATAACTCACAATTTTTAATAATTATTATTTACATTATAATTCCATTTATAGTTATAATTTATGATCTTAACTTTAACTATTAGCTCACCTAATCAGATATTATATACAGCTACTGATAGTGATATCACCACTGTTATACATAAAATGTATACTTATATATTTATATTTGTATTCATTATATTATCGCCGCAAACAATAGCGGTACGATATTTAATCACAGATAAAGTCGGTTGTAACTAGGCGTTGCTGCTTCTGTAAATTTAATAATCAAATTAAATATATTATTTAAAGATGGTTCCTACAATTATCGTTCATGGAGGTGCAGGAGATATTCCTGAGAGTAGGGTAGAAGGAAAACTGAAAGGTGTAAAACTTGCAGCAGTTATTGGACAGAGAATATTATCTGAGGGAGGTAGTGCTCTAGATGCTGTAGAGGCTGCTGTTGTTTCAATGGAAAATGATGAATATTTTAATGCAGGTATTATACATCCGGCAACTTTTTATTCTCTAAAATTGATAAGAATATATATAATAACTCCTCAGTATGATATCTTTTAATAGGATATGGATCCGTTTTAAATGTAAACGGAGAAGTTGAAATGGAGGCTAGTATAATGAGTGGAAAGGATTTAAATGTTGGTGCTGTAACTTTGATTAAAGATTTTCTACATCCAATAAGTATAGCTCATAAAGTTCTGACTGATTCGCCACATTCATTACTGGGTGGCGAGGGGGCTAAATTATTTGCGCTTGAGAAGGTAATGATTTTCTTATACATCTATTAATTTGTAAAAATTCTGTATTATTGCAATATTTTATTACTTGTATATGTTATTAAATTTTTTATAATGATTATTATCATTTCTGTTGTTTAAAGGGTTTTACAACTGTTCCTCCGGAATCTTTAATAAGTCAACATGCCAGGGCTGCATTAAATTCTTTCTTGCAACATGGGGAATTTGGTAGGACTGAAATTGGAATGGATACTAAAGTAAGTGTTATTTGAAATATAATATCATGTAAATATTATTAATATTGTTTTTTATGTTAAAATTGTATATTTATAGAGTGATGTAGGGACTGTAGGTGCAGTGGCCCTTGATAGTAACGGTCATATAGCGGTAGCAACAAGTACTGGAGGCATGAGTGGTAAGGCTGTTGGTAGAATTGGTGATACACCACAAATAGGAAGTGGTACATACGCTGATGATTATGTAGGGGGAGTCTCTACAACAGGTATAGATATTAATTAAATATATGGCCATCAAGATCGTTTATGAGATTAAGAGTAAAATGATCTATTTGTACAGGTCATGGTGAAACCATACTGAAATACTGTTTGGCCCACAGCATTATAAAGCTTATGGAAAATGGTAAAGATGCGAGTGCTGCTACTAAAATGGCAGTGGAAGGTGAATTTGACATAGTTTTTGGAAGTATATTTACTGATACATTTTTTGATATTAAATTTGTTTAATTCCAGGAATGACCAAAAGACTGAATAACACCGCAGGAGCGATAACTTTGTCCAAAAATGGCGACGTTGGTATACATTTTAGTTCACAACGATTGGCCTGGGCGTACATAAAATCAAATAAATTATTTTACGGTATTAACCATGATGAAGTTTTTGAGGACGATGTTTCTCTATAATTTATATAAAAGAAAAGAAAAAAGAGATTAGAACGAAAGAACGAAGAGATTAAAGAGATATTTATATTTTTGTATGTTTTTTAAAAAATATTAAAGAAATTTATTTTTATTTACCCTAAAGTTGTTTCATATATAATGTATACATATTAGGTATTCATAATATTAATTAAACAGATTTTTTCTTCTTCAAATATTTCGTGTATTTGATATCAAAGAAAAATTCAGTCGCATCCTCTTTCGTCTAAATATTAATCTTTGGCGTGACTTGTGAGGATCATAAATATAATAAAAGAAACAAAAAGAGTTATTTTGTCGGTTAATTTATTACAATCTGAATTTCTGACTCTTCGACAAGTAATCTCTCTAATAATCTCGCTCAGTAAAGTGTCACGTAGGCTTGATTGTCCTAAAATGAATTCGCTCCTTAGCATGAGACTGCGTGATCATCAGTGTTGCAGTGCATTTTTTGCACTGTGGAAGCCCATGACCAATACTGTTAGTAAAGCCCTTTCATTGGACCTTCGGCAAACTTCCCAGTGACCTAAGACACAGCATATTCATATAGTTATTCGAGTCAGTTTAATAATATCCATACCCTGTTTTAAATTTTTATCCAGGGCCCTTAAGATCCTAAGATATTTGATAGGTATTTTGATTTTTTTCGCTGGAAAATTTTCTATTACACACAAATTATACAGTAATAAAAATAATATTTATTCTTTCACTTCTATGGCAAAGATTTATTTATTTCTATCCTCTGAAATTTGCATTAGTTTATAGTACTTACTTAAATTTTGCAAGACTAAAGGATAGTTAGACTTCGTTTCAATAAAAATGGTTTTTTAAATATATTCAATTACTTTATTGAAGTCAAATATTTTAAGTATGAACTCCTTTTGCGATCAATATAAGTTAAAATGATGTTGGAAGAATATACGGTGAACATTTCACTTCAGTCATAAAAAAAACAACAATTGAAAGAGCGGAATGGCAGTGACAGTTGAGCATTGACAAACGAATTGTCAATTATCAAGCAAGAGTACGGAGATTACAATTTTTAAGAATGGTTTTTATTAATTACATTTGTTGCTAATATCAACTTCATTGTAATGGTACTTAAAAGCAAATTAAAAATATTTTGATACATAAATCATAATGTCTATTCGTTTTAAGGCTTCCGAATTACAATGTTTCAATTGGATGTTTAAATTTGCACCATGTTTTCCTGTAAGTGCTTCAAATATAAATATTATAACAGAACCTGTAAAATTTTATGACACACTCTGCAACAGATTTCAAAATGCTAGACATAGGATATCAATGGCCAGTCTATACATAGGCACAGGTCATTTAGAAAAAAGGTTGTTAGAAGTTACTGCACAGAATGTTAAAAACGTGAAGAATTTAAATTTTAAGGTATTATTAGATTACCAAAGAGGCACCAGAGGTGAGGTTAATTCATGCACTTTGTTTAACAACTATATGAAAAATGTGTCTGATAGATGTCACTTAGCTTTATTTCAAACACCAAGACTACATGGTTCTTGGTCCAAAGCTCTTCCTTCTCGCTATAATGAAATCGTTGGTCTGCAACACATGAAATTATACATTGCTGATGATTCTATAATAATCAGTGGAGCAAACTGCTCCAATGATTATTTCCAAAACAGACAGGATCGTTACATAGAGATAAAAGACATGGAACTAGCAAATTTTTATCATGAGCTTATAGGTATGGAAGCAGTAAGTCAATTTATTGCTCTTACTAGTTATAATGCTGGTTTATAAAATTGTTTACAAATTTTCATATTACAGATGAAGTAGTCAAATACAGTAGACATGAAAATTCACTGAATAGTGATAAAAATACCTCAGTATCTAAAAATATAATTATACAGGAAGTTAGACAAAATATAGAAAACCATATTGAGAAGTGGAGACTTAAACAGTATGAGAAATTATCAAACTTATCTAATGGTATGTATAAAGTATAAACAGTTTAAAATAAGACATTTAAATTATTCTTAATATATAATATTAATCTTTTCATATGTTTCAGATGCTAGTGATAAAGACACATGGATATTTCCTCTGATACAAATGGGTGAATTTAATATAACTCAGGATGAAAAGGCCACTTGTGGAATACTATCATCTAGTCCAAAGGGTTCATACTTTAGACTTGCAACTGGCTATTTTAATTTGACAAATAAATATGCTGACGTTTTATTAAGGGATTGTAAAGCTCACATTAGTCTTTTAATGGCTCATCCTAATGTTAGTATTGTGATGAATATATATGAAATATATCAAAGTAGATATCTGTTACTTATTTAGGAATGTTTTTTTAGGCGAATGGCTTTATGGGAGCAGCTGGGCCAGCAGGGGGCATACCTCATGCTTACTCATTAATAGCCCGACAGTATGTAATATATTGAATAATCATATATTTCATGTTTCTCCAGTTGAATGTTACTTACATTAATTTTAATATATTCAGATTCTGGCAAAAAGTTGTTGATAATAATCAGAGAAGTAGAGTACAAATGTTGGAGTATGAGAGAAGTGGATGGACTTTTCATGCTAAGGGTTTATGGTAAAATTTTGTTACAAATTGTATATTATACATAAAGAATTTTTTTGGCTTAGTTTTAGCCAATTAACGCACCTTATAAATACACTTTTTATTTTATCTGTGACAATAATTGTATCTTCAAAGTGATATTAAAGAATTAAATTAGTATTTCATACAATATTAAGCTAACATAGATTTGCAAAACAGACCATATGTACACTCTTGTATCAAACAAAAAATTGTTAACAATTTACAATATACAGTAAAGGATTTACTAATTTTTACTTAGAAATTAGTGTTTAAATTTAAATTTTATATTTATTTTAATATTTATTTTTTTTTTTTTTTAATAATAATAAACTTTATTGTCCAGGTATTATCCTCCTGGTAGTGATGTGCCTTGGATGACGGTTGTTGGTTCCGCAAACCTCGGCGAGCGATCCGTAAGACGCGACCTTGAAGCACAAGCCGCCATATTTACGGTGTCGTCAGATTTACAAGTACGTCACTTTGATATGGAATTTAAAACACATTTTTCTATTATCCTACTTAATATTATAATTGCGAGTTTGTGAGTGTCTGTGTATGTTTGTTACTTCTTCACGCTCAAACGGCTGAACCGATTTTGATAAAAATTTGTATACAGGAAGTTGACGTCCAGGAATAACACATAGGCTACATTATATCCCGGAAATTCGCGGGTAACACCGCGGGGCGCAGCTAGTAATTTATAAATGCTCATCCTTATGTTCGGCGTCGTAATAGCCATATTTATTTATTTCTCATTAATATATATTTTTTATTATGATATGTATATTCTGCGTTAATTTCGAATTTGTGAGAATACTATTATGAAAGGTTATAAGGATGAGGTGTGATGATTTTATCTTAATACTTTCAAAGTGAGAATAAAATTTAAAACTATAAAGCTAATATTTTTTCTCAACAAAGATGTGTTGGTATATTTCTTTTCACACATATGTATTTAGATATATTCATTTGAAATTTAAAAGTACTTAATGAGAATATTAGCTTTTATACTCAGGTGACTTACAATATATGTATTTTGTGTTATAAAAAACGGTGCAATAGTTTCGGAGCCTTTGTCTCGAACAAACATCATTCGTTTTAATGACGTTAGTGTTGGAGCCATAACATTTCCATTTAACTATAAAGAGAAACAATATATCGAGCTAAGATAATTACATTATAAATACATATAGTTATCATTAACATAAAATGATGGATTAAGGATGAGCACTTCATTATTTTTACAGCTAAATAATTAAATTTATTGAGTGTCTGAAATGATATACATATTTGAAGTAATTTAATTAGTGTAGCCAAGTTTAAATATTATGTTAATTATTTGTATCATTACAGGAGAGACTACACAACGAATGTTCTAGTCTTCACGAAAACGCTTCAGAATGTAGTCAAGATTTACAAGAAAGACGAGCTCCGTTGTGGGTTCGGGCCACTGTGGGATTATTTAGAACATATTTCTAAAATACCAAAAAAACTTCTATTAGTATAATTACATGAAGAAGTTACCTTACAATTCAGTATTTATTTCAACGAAAATAATAAAACAGACAAAAAAATTAAGAACTCTTGTTTATAGTGGCTATATTTTGTTTGTAATGTTTTATTTTAAAGTTGATTATTATTTTGCTGTTGTTGTTATTATTGTTACGTAAAATATGGAATATATGAAAGTTGTTATAGATATATTGTTTTAATTTAAAGGTCAATCTTATTAAAATAAAAAACACCGAAATTTTTTTTATCCAATCTTTTTTAATCATATTCAATCTTATTTTTTCATATAATCACATAATTATAATTACTTTGATTCACGCTTAAAATAAATTAAATGAAAACACTCTGCAATAATTTATACACAAAAAAATAATAATCAGTCGGTTTTGTGACATTATTTGATTGTTATTAAAAGTATACAATCAAATTACAATAATAGGAATCAGGCACATTATATATATAATAACTATTTACTAATGAGTAGTAACATGTTAAAACATTACGCGGCATACCATAGAGGTATGAGGTACAACATAACAATCCATCAACCAAAACAAAAACTCAAGTTTTGAGCATAATCATTACAGATTAGTTATTGCGATTGAGCAATCACATATTATAGATTTTATTATAAAGAATGAGCAATTAATTGAAGCATTTTAATTTTCGTATCCAATATAGAATGTAAGAAGTAATATTTATAACATTGAAGCATGGACGCCATTTTATTCTAATCTTTGGTGTGCTGGGCATAACAACGCTGACACTCAGTGAAATGCCGTAGGGCGGTGTTTGTAATAAAATCAATCAGCCATCTTTGTATAACTTATAATAAAAGAGACACCGGCATTTGGTCGAGTCGTCAGTACACACGGAATAATATATACTGTGTTGCGGTAACGCCTTCAAACTAAACACTACGGACGCAGATAGTAGGTACAAAAATATTTCACCTATCAAATATAATTAATACTACTTAACAATTAAGTATAGGGAGGAGGTCGTATAGGAAATAACAGCTCGGATCATTTAAACGGACCAACTATCTCTCGTTGTTACAAAGTGCGTAATAAAAACAAATCTTCAATGTGGCGGGCGTAGTGTAAACGAGCCTCCTCTAATAATGCTACTTATCGCGTATCACACTAAGGTAAATTGACTAGGCGTTTTGTGAGTCGGTCACAATCACGTGACGGTATCGTTAGCTCGACTTACAAATGTCTATTAAAACGATATACCAACATTACATCCACAGACAATCGCCGAGATATATGATTCAAATTAAAAAAATATCCATATACAATGTTAATGTAATACAAAAAAAGGTTTTAAATCACAGCGAATGTCCGTAGAATGGCATGTCGACCAAATAAACGGCAACAACAGCGCGTAATGTCGTTCATGGCGCCATATTCACCGGCTGTCGTTGGCAGCGCTGGCAGTTTGACATTTTGACATTTGTGGTGTTCGAAATTCAAAATCAGAAGCCGACGTCCGGCGGCGGGTCGGGCGGCATGTAGTGCAACTCATCTACCGGGCCGCTGAACACGTTATATAACACTGCGAATAGAGTGCAAGCCGCGTACGCTCCCAGCGCCGCCCACCACAACAGTCGCTCCCACAGACGCTGTTGTGCGTGCTTCAACACCAACAGACCGATAGTAAGACCGGCCAGAGCGCCCGCCACGTGCGCCGCGTACGATACAGGCGGCGCCTCCTGCTTCACAAAACATTATATCAATTAGTATTATATACAATACTAAGACTTAATAGGACATAATTTCATCTTTAGTTTGACATAAATAGATTCGTTTATTGTTTTGCTGTTCAATAGTAGGTATATTCATTAAATACTATGTGCGGTATAAAGTACGGATAAATCAAACTCACCTTAGTATACCTAGCGTGGACAGCGAATCCGACATCACATGAGGCGACTGCGAGGGCTGCCACTAGTCTAACGGCGCCGTATCTCATAGCGTGGAAGTTAAGTAAGGCGTTAGCTAGGTGAGCCGCGAGTAGAGCATACACTCCGCCCGAAGCGCCCGCCAGACACACGTCTGGGTCGAGGACAGAAGCAGCCAGGGACCCTCCCAGTACACCAGCCAGATACACCGCGCCGCACCTCACCGCGCCATGAACCATTTCTAATGGCAGACCCACCTAAAAATATATACCAGATTCATTGAAATACAAAAAACTGACTCACTTACAACCTATTGGATATACAGGGTGACTGGTAAATTACTATCGATATTTGAGGACATGATATTTGACGATCACATATGACAAAATAAAAATTAATATAACATAAATATTAATAAACTTCTAAGTAAAGTTAACCAAAAGTTATGTAATTAATTACGCATCGTGTGAACACCCTACAGATTAGGTATACACTGACACTCACACATACGCGTGTCGTGACGTGGTGTTGTATCAGCACGCCGCCGCACGCGTCCACACTTGAACATTTGGAACGTGTCAACACTTTACTTATTTATACGGAAATTTTGTCAAAAATTAAGTGCCTATTTTTTTTATATAATTCGAATGAGAATCATGTACCGAGTATTCTCCTTAAATATTGATAGTAATTGACCAGTCACCCTGTAGATCCAGATATCGTAAAACAAATTATAGAATAAAATGTACCATATAAGCTGATAATAATTCTATCAATCAGTGTTGTGAATAGTGAAAAATATTTTTCATTAGAAAAACAATTGACTGGCAGGTAAAATTGACTCTTATGTTCATGAAATTAAAGCGTATATTCCAATGTATATAATACTGACAGCTAACTGTACTAGCAAGTTGAACGCGAGGTGCAGCCAGCCGGCGTGTACCACGCTGTATGTGAGGAAGCGCCACAACTCCTGTCTTCTGTCAGGTCGATACACGAGCGGTGAGTCTACAGGAACAGGGCCCGCGGCCGCCACACCGCCCCATGCGTACCACGCGAACACACCCAACTATAAAACACAATAAACATACTGAGTGAACAATTCTATTTGATAATTTCTTCTTAAATCTTTATATAAATAATTCTTCTGTGAGTGTGTATGTCACTGAACTTCTCTCAAACGACTGGAATTTTTTCCTGTGTGTTCAAGGGGATCTGGGAATGGTTTATATTCACAATTTTTGTCCGCTGGACAATGTTTTTTTAATTAATTTTTAATTTATCAGCAGTTGTTGATACAAACGTTTCTTTTTGACATAAGATTTGACAACTAACTAATATGTCAATCATTCTGTCGCACTTCAAAACACTGAGGTTTGTGGTTTTAATAGGTAAACTCCAGAAATATAAATAAAAAACGTAACAGATATTTCTTGATTATAGGGCGATACGAAGTTCGCCGGGTCTTCTAGTAAACGTATAAAACTTCTTAGCGTTCCTTGGATTCAAAGTATAGGTAAGAAGGAGCTTCAAAAGTGCTTGGGACTTGCGATCCAGGTGTAGGTTTAAGGGGCAACTATCTAACGTGCGTTAAACACTCACCTCCACTATACAAACTCCTCTCTCTGCTTAACCAAATTTGAAAAGAACCTACTAGGGTAATCTTCGAAGTACGTTCCAAGAATAATTAATTATATAATAAGAATTTATATATGGCGTTTAAAAATCTATTTTATGTCGATTCTGAACATTATTTTCACTTAAGATGGAATTTACATGAAAAACTTGTCTATATCTCAAGTTTATTTTAAAATCTTATCGCTAAAGATTGCATAGTTAAAGTTAAATTGGGCAGAACATATAAAACTAAACTAAGGATAGATGTCAGGGACAGGCTGATAAGATCAACGTGAATGCAAAGATTTCTAATTCCTTGGCAATAATAGGAGTGTTATTATCGTCATGAGAAATAAACGTTTGTCGTTAAAAAAAAGAGGCATCGGTGAAACGTTACATTACAATCGTATCTGATGAAAGTTATGCTGAACTGTTTCCGTTTCCGGAAAAATCTAATGGATATAAATAGGTTTTTATTTCCATGGGGGAGGAACAGTTAGCTGTGATCACTTGAGGCTAAGAAAATAACGCGTGTGATGAATCAAAGTGTGACGATAGAATGTATGGACGCGTGAGCACTCGGACCGTTTGTTGTTCACGTAAACAGCTTGTTTGCACGGATGTGAAATCAGCAATTACAAATTTTAATTAACCGAAGTAACTAGAGCGGGGATACAGCTGTGTTGCGTTCTGTACGTTTGAAAGTGATGAGCCGATCATACAATTTACACTAACGGCGATCTACTGTGAGTTTTATTAAATGAATTAAGATCAACTTACTTCTAATAATGTGACGCAGATTATGAAGAGCGGCGGGGGACAACACGTGTACCTTTCCTGATAATATTTCCGATCTCTCTCCTCCGGGAGTACTTCCATAGCCACGAGATGAACCATCCTTGAATAGAAACATATTTATTAAATTATACACATAGAAACAGATACATTTCTTTTAAATAATCCTGGAATCTTCTTCGTTAATTTCCATCAGTGTGAACTCAGTTAATAGATCAGTTTTAACGGTCCCAAACGGTATGGTCTTCCAAACTCGCGTACCTGGTTACGAAAACATCTAAACGACTTGCCAAACGCTATAACTCACATGATTGTTATTTATGAGATTTATTGACGGTGGAGCAATTTCATAAACGTTTTATTACATGAAATCACACAACATGTCAGTGTGACACGACAAAACGATATAAAAAAACGTTATAATCATGTCAATCGAGGTTTATTAAAACATAATGCCTTTACACTAATAATTTTGTTTAAATTTTACGGCTGTTATTTATCTTGTTACATATTACACAGGGAATTTTATATATCAAACATGGTTATTGATGATTTTTTTTTTACATTGTTGTCAAAGTCACGGCACACCGGATTTATATGTAGACTTCTTAGTCTTTAATTAATTTTTTTTTTGCTTATAATGATTTCTAATTAAATTTACCTGGCGAATAGTGTTGGATCTTCTAATAGTAAATGAAAGTCGTTCTCAGAGCTGACTTCTCTGTCTCTTTGATGCACCGCACATCTATAGCTGCGCGTGCGCTTGCCGCTCATCTAGAAAAAAAATACCATTAAATAACTTTGCGATATTTGCAATACGGTTCAAATATATAAAACAAATAATGATTCATATATTGTCTGATATGTCTAGAGGGAAATTACAGTGTATTTCATTCAACAAAAACATTTACTTTATCTTACAAAACCGCAAAACGTCATGTTATTGAGTAAGTTTATTAGAAATTCATTTATATATAAAATAAACTAAAACTTGACGTCACCTATAAACGTCATTTTATATGTATATATATGCATTTATTTATTTTCACACAAAAATATAATCAAGGAATACTGTTAACCGCTGAGTCGATCTCAAAAGTTAGATTTTCACACCGTTACATCGACTTGACATAACAGCGAGCCATCAAAGTGCAACCAGAAATATTAATAGAAAATATGAAGAAAGATGAAATGTTCATGATAATTAAACTTGAAGAGTTTTCTTTGAAGATGCCATATATATAATGTTACACATTTTACGAGTCGTACAACGGTACCGCTGAGGTTATATGTCCAACCTGTGTGGAATTTAAAAGGAAACAATGTATCGTAAATAAAGAAAATTTGCAATAACTTTTATCTATTATATAGATTTTATTACAGCCTATATAATTAATTGTAAACTTCACCGTAATTTTAAGATTTCTGTTTTTAATGTGAGAAAGATACATCCGTTCCGGTGTACGGTCGTTATTAAATTAACAACAAATAATAAAAAATCATCAAATAACTCACATTTGGTACAAATCGACTCCGATACAGTATAAAACTGCGGTTAACTTTATTTTGTTTATGTAGGGAACATTGATATATAACTGGCAGTAAGCTGGCCGTATTCCAGTACACCTATCGATCGTGGTGGACAAACAGCTATGACCTAAGTAATAAGCTTTTAAGGTCACAAAAACCGTCTAAAACTAATCGATACGCTTTACTTTCGTAACGGCCTTCTAATTCTATTAATGTTCGCTATTACTATTTTCTCTGGTATATAAAAATGAAAGTTTTGTAAAAAATATATCATACGATTGTATTAACGCTTTTCCTTTTAAATTATTCACGTCTTAGACTCATAGTGTTCTTATAATTTACAAATTAGTTCTAAAATAATGTTCCTAATAATTTTAATTTTCGTACAATATCCCGCAGTTGTATGAGGGTAGGTACATACTACATAGTTATCAAGTAGGAATGTTGTGTGGTCTATGGGGCAGTAGTATAGATCAGGTCTATGAACAGGTGGGCGGTGGTGAACAGTGAACTCGCCATCCGCACTCCAGCTACCGTATTGTCTCCGAGAGTCGTTCAACTCGGTTTCCCACGACATCGCAATGAAATGGCCAATGCCAAAACCTAAATAGCCTAGACGCGGCGCAGACGTACGCTATATCCGTCCCGGCAACGGCCTCAACGAACGAGAGATATTATTGTATATATAAAAATATATTATTACGTATAAAACAAAAGCTCTACAAAATACAGTCGTTAAACTAACGGTTTGACATATAAATCATAATATAATCCGACTTTTTACATTATTATTTTTTTTATAAAAATTTATATGAATTTGTTACTTGAACGTTCTTGAGGTCAGTAAGGATTGTGATGTATATGGGTGTGCATGTAATATACACAATATTTTAAATTTTAGTCTTCAATAAAAAAATACAAAAAAATTCTTCGTTATTTCAAAACCCGTTGGGATGTAAGTAAATTTGTATGAGAGAAAAAAATCGGCTCTAAAAACAATAGTGTTTTAAACGATTCAAGCTAGATATCTATGAAGTTTTGTAATTCCAAGTCATGTCTGATGAATGCAAATCTTCCAATATACAATATAAACGTTTTCCCTCTCGATGATCGTGTTGCGACTTGCGAGGGCAGGCGGTGGGCTCCGGCGTAGGCGCCGCGTGACTCACACAGACATCCGACACGTACGATTCGTATCCGGAACCACTAACTAGACACTATTGCCGCCTCGTCAAAGTAAGCCTACGACGCAGAGCCCATTACAAAAACCCACATTACCATTCGTTATTTGGCATCGGCTATAAAATATAATTTGAGCTTTACGCTAATTCAATTCCGTTACATATGTACTGACTCCATATAACTTTTTTTAAAGATCAAAATCGTCATATTAAGCTTGTGTTTTGGTTGTCAAACAATTATGAGAAAAAATTGACAAATCTAAAACCTTCTTTATTTCAAATTTATACCAATTTTTAAGAAGATATTGAATAGAAGCTTATTAATTTGAATTTTGGAAGACGTTAAAATTTCGTACGCATTTTTTATGCTATAGTCTTATTTGACTGTTTGATATCAACATTCATAGATGTGAATATGATAAAACAATACAGTATCATATAAATAAATAAACGTGCAATAACAGAAACGTCGGATTAAACTGCCACCGTTAGACGCTACGCTAAAAGTTAATGACTTCTTTAACCGTATTTCTGTCAGTAAATTTTATCTAAATCTAGCATATTAATGGTGGATTTACTGATGTGTTGTACAAGTGAATGTTCTGGGAGCGTTCCCACGCGACACCTCCGCTCTATTATGTTCTAATCTCTTCACGTATTATACTAAATAGATGAAATTTAGGATCTGAACACTCTTCATACAACTATCACCCCAGGTGCGTAAAGATATCGTAATATATAGATTGTAAATCTATATAGAGGCATCAAATCATGTTTCGACTTGTCCTTACTTGTTGGATACAGCGGATGTTGTTAAAATTATTACGTCACTTTATTGTGGGGCCGCATTTCATTAATATATGATATTGTAATCGTAAATGGTTAGATCGAATACAAAAATAAAACCTACTATTAGCTCCGTTGAACATCGTCGATATTGATTTCGTGAGGCTCATTTTACATAAGAACTACACAAGTTTTAATTTGATGTAGAAAATCGACCTAATTTGTTTTTTAGTTAGCTTTAAAAATCTTGAAATATATTATAATTTATAAGGGCATTTATAATGTGGGTTTTAGAAAAATTCTTTATTTTAAATAATATATTATGGTGTTTGGGTTTTAATTAAAATTTTCAGATATTTATTTTTTTATCATGAAATTCGGATAATATTTTTCAATGGTGGTGTCACACGTAAAATTATTTAAAGATCAACATTTTTATATTATCCCCAACATTAAAACAATATGAGTTACTTATTTTAAATAAGACAATTATATTTTTCGTAACCTTCTTATGTTTCTGCACTAACAACCTTACGCATATTTTTTGTGCAGTTATAAACATAATGCAGTAGAAAGTAGAAATTAGTTACATTCTTTATACAACAAACAATAAGAATTATTATCATTGTGTTAATAAAAATATTAATTTTAACAAACAAACATTGTAATATTGATAGATTTACTGCCATTATAAAATATAAATCGAATTTTATACATCAATTGCAATGTTCATTTTTCAAATTAATACCGCAAACTAATTATTATAATCATTAATAATTTATATGCACAGCACATATTTAAGTATCAGAATAAATTCTGCATTTATTTTTGCAGTATTTTAAACAAAAATATAAAAATTGTAATAAAAATCGCGATGACATCCCTAAAAATCAAACAAATGTCAGAAATAAGTTTTCAACTTACCCATCGCGTATCTTTAGTTTATATTTATTGTCACACAAGAACCGGCTTTTATTTTAATAATTTAATCACAACACCTTAATGTCACTTTAATAATTGAGGTAGATATATGTTTGTTTGTATTTATAAATTGAGTTCGTTTTTCGATGTGAATATCGCGAGCGTATTTCTTATTGCGTTACGAGCGCGGCACATCCTCTCCCCACGAGCGCTCGATGCAGACTGATTTCGCCGACGATAGTGTGCCAGTGGCGGGTTTCGTTTCAATCGGTCCGTGCGTAGACTTTTTTTTTAAGTCCGGAGTGGTGGTTGCAAGCTATTTGAGAGGGTGGTTCCGGTTCCGAGGGCGGTAGAGTTTCATTTGTCGTCCAAATAGTTTTTATTACAATTGGTACACATTCTATTATATTTCAATTTAGGTTTCCAATCTATATAAAAACACGATGAGTTTGATTTCGTTTTAGTGGAACGCGTTGTATTAACTTTAATGTATTTAATGTTATTAATAAAATTAAATAGTAAAGTTTTAAATTTATTTTAATATATAGAAAAATAAGTATGCTAACCAAATCTGCATTTAAAGATTTTAAACAATAGTGAAGAGAAAACAGTATAGGGTAATTAAATTATTGGTATTTCTTTATGACTAATAGTTTAAGTAATATTTCCTTTGCTATTGTAATTCATCACTTACCTCTTGTTTGGACACATCTGTTTAGATTTAATGTTATTATTTCACGTCTCTATCTGAAATCCGTTCCAGATGTCCGGGTTCTAAATGAAGTAATTACCTTAAAAGCATTGTGTCCCTGCGACTCCTTTCAATATAAATAATAAAATACATATCTTTACGGAAAAACTTTTCTTTGCATCCAGTTTTGCAACGGTTAATAATATTAATTTTATGACTTATCTGGTTTTACTAATATGAAACAGATTACTGTATGAAAAAAAATATTCAATGATTCAATTTATATTTTTTTGAACAGGTGGCATAAGGGGAACTTATCATATAGTAAATTTTATTTTGCAAATAATATACATATAATACATACATTTACATTATACAAAGATATTAAGCGACTAATGATGTATTATAATGATAAATTAGGAACGAATGAAACAATTATGTAACGCAAAACATTATAATATCAATCATTTCAATGTTCACATTGAATGCCACTCAATGTATTTAGTTTACAAAATTAGTGTCAGAATGGCACAGTGTAAATGTCAAACAGACCAGATGTGTCGGCGGAATTGTTTGATCCGATAATGACATTTCATGGTTTGTTAACAAGTCTCGTGTTATCAGTCAACACATGGGCGTCCGAGCGAGGCAGGTGGGCGCCATGA